GGTTGTAGGAACAAATCAAGCCCCCAAAACAATGGTTCCTGGGATCCAATACCTCTGCTCCCTGGGAGAGTATCAGGCCCAAAACCCCGCGTCCAGCCTCTTGAGGCGGGTAGGAGGCTGGCCCCAGCCAGAGTCAGACGGGGCGCGTCTGCGTTCTTCGCCCCTGCTTGGGAGCAACAGGACGGGGTAGTGTGGACAAGGAATCAAGGCTCCGTGGCAGGTGGCCTTGGCAAGCAGACCGTGAATGATGGAGGGGTGCTGAGGAGGATGGAAGGGGGTGAAGGGAGAGGGCAGGCGGCAGAGGTGGCGGTAAGGCCAGCCCTGAGTCCACAACAGGAAGGTGCTGGTGAGGCGGGCAGTCGAGGCCGACGACCGGATCTGCACGCAGAGGAGCAGAGGAGCCCGATGGAGGTATAATGAGAACCAGCCTCAAATTTCAGCTCCTGAACTTCCAGCGGTGGGGCTGGCTGAGGTTTGGGGCTCGGCATTGGTGAACACGGGGCCCCGGTACGCGGACCCAAAAGCGGAATGTTTCAAACCAGCAGGACGAAGTGGCCCCTGCCGCCCCTCCCCGCAGCCAGGCACCGAGACCCGCCGGCGCCCCGCCGACCTCCATCCCCTTACCCAAGCACAGCCGGTGTACGAACCAGGACACTGCAGTCTGTGGCAGGACCGCCGGGAAGGAACGTGGCCACCTTGCACCCCCGTGCCAGGTAATAAACAGCCAATCAGAGAACGGAGGCCTCTTAGGGGCGTCTCTGTGGGGCACAGTCACCCCATCAGGAACACAAGAAGGCCAGGTGGACAGCTTGAGAAGGGGGCTCTCCCGGCCCTCGGTGCTCCTGGCTCCATGCCCACCTGGGGCAAACAGGCTCACAGCCAACGTCAATTCTCGAGTCTCCTTGACCAGAGGCTCAGGAAGGGGCACGGCTGTGCTCTCCATGAGCCACTCTGCTTAGGTGGGTGAAATGGCCCTGGTCCCCGAGCAGCCTCTCTGATGCTCAAAAGCCAAGCCCGAGACAGGTCAGGATCAGGGGGCGGGGCACGCCGAAAAGGCCAGCTGTGCCCGGTGCACCTGCAGGCCTGGGGTCTCCTCCCTCTCACCTTTCTTTGCAGCTGTTTTTTAAATTGCTCAGCGTCCTTTCTCATCTTAGGTGTGCGAACCCCACCACGGGGCATCTCAGGCCTCTGCCCCGCTCAGCTGTGCCAAGTGCTAATTTCACTGGTGTGCTGGTGTCTCCTTCAAAGCGGCCAGAGCGCCAATGAAAGAAACATCAAAGCTCCCAGACACCCGTTCTCCCTGACAGCTCACACGGGACTGGAATGAGCCTCCCTCCACTTGGCAAATCAACCGTGGAATGGAGCGCCCCCCCCCCCCCGCCGCCTTCTCCCTGGTCCTGAGCGCTGGCTTTGGGTCCAGCCGACCTGCCCTTGGCCCGACATCTGGGGGAGCTCTGGCACTCCCTAAGGGCACCAGTCATGAGACCATCAGGAAGACCCAAGTGCTGCCTGTCTAGGTAGCCCAGAAACCAAATTTACACCTGACCAGTGAAGTCATCACAGAGCTTAAACCCAACAGGCGAGATCAGATGGGACCCACAAAAGCATTAATAATTGATTCCATGATTCGTTTGGAGGTTTTCGTTTTAATAACTTGGCAAGAGAATTTTTAAGCTGTGTCCCCTCAAAGAAATGCAGGCATTTTTCAATCAGCCACCACCCCAAGTTGTCAAAACCCCTCCCACCCTGCCCAGCCCTCCCCTCAGACACAGGGAGGATGGAGAGGTTCGTAGCTGTCAAGCGGTGGGGGGAGGGAGAGGAGGCCCGATCACTCACCATTATCGTTGTCCTGTTGCAAGTGCTTGATCATGAACGGGATGGGGTCCTTGGGCTGGTGGATTAGGAGTTGCTCCAGCATGTTCTGTGGGCACAGGGCAGACACCCAGGTGGTTAACAGCTGCATGGGCATCCAGAGCCCCGGGCTCGGGCTTCGGCAGCCCAGAATCCTGGTTGCTACCAATACGGGTTATGGGGCCTGATTTCTCCTCCACATCCATCAAACCTGCCTTGAACTTGGGATCCCGCCCCTGTTCCAGCTGCCATCTGCTTGGGTCCCCATGAGCAGAGGCATGACAGAAGGGCCGTAGGGTATCGCCAGGGAGACACCTGGAAGGACTGCACCCCGACCTCAGAACAGGCGGGCCCAGGGTGTGGGCGCTCTGTCCATCTGTGCTTCCCAGACTAGCCTTCTCTCAGTTCTCCTGATGCACCATGTTCATGTGCTCCTCAGAGCCTTAGCAAATGCTGTTCCCTCAGCTTAGAACATTGTCCCCCTGAGTCCTCCAGTCTCCATGAAAACACACCTTCCTGATCACACTCACTAGATAAATCCTGTCACATGCTCCTGCAGCCCCCATGTGTCCCCGTTATTGCCTCACCCTTGTCCTGGTGCTGGGCACACTCACAGTAGATGCCCAAAGCCGATGTCTGCCGGGGCGCATGGCCACCACTGCTACCCGTGTCCTTCTGGGGTGGGACAGAATATTTACCGGCCTGGGCTCTAAACAGTCCTGGGATCGTCTGGCCATTTAATTCCAAGGAAAAGCACCTTCCATGGTTCCAGAGCAAGAGGCACAGAAAGAACTGGGTAGGTAATAGGATCTGCGCTGGCGCAGCAAGGAGCTTCCTTTAGGGACATAAGAAGTCCTAGCTCCCCTCTGCACCTCACCAGCCAGTCCCTTCCCTTCCCCAAGCCTCGGCTTCCCCATCTGCTGGAAGGTCCAACTGGCCCAGGCCTCTAGTCGGCTCTCACTATGGAGACAGGATGAGATGATGCTAGATGGTTCACCAAGGAGTGTTTTTATTTCACTTTTAAACAGTTGAGTATTGAATGTGTATCAGGGAACCTCAGATAGCAAGGATATTGCTTAGCAGGAAGTAAAACAGGTTAACTCTTTTTCAATGGGTTGATTTCAAAAAACGACTGAGTAAAAGTGGGATTGTAGTAGTGGTTATGTGAATCGATACACGTGGTAACACTTCCTAGAACGGTGCACACACAACAGGGAAGAAGGGCAGGTAAAAACGGAGGAGATCCAAATAAGGACTCCATCTGCTGAACCGTCTGGTACAACTGTGAATGCCGAGGAGGGAGGCTCCATGGTCTTCGCAGGGGGCGCTGGGGAAGGGTACCTCAAAACTCTGTACTATCTTTCTAACATCCCGTGGGTCTGAAATTATTTGAAACTAAAAAGTGTAAAACCCACGGAGGGAACACACACAAATGACTAAGGACTGGACATCCTGGACCGAAAGCGCCTGCAGACTGCTCCATCCCACCAGCACTCTTTGAGACACAGCGCCCCTGGGGAGCTGCTCACCCTGCTACCGCCGTTTTCTTAGACGGGCTGCTCGGTTCAGAGAACTCTCTCTCCCTCCCTCTGCCAGTTAACACTTCCCAAAGGAAGCCTGTGGTTGCTGGAGACACGGCGATGGTCTGAGTCTGAGCTCTGCTCTCACATGTGTGGGTCAGAGGCTCAAACAAGCACGGGTGACCCCTCTGGGGATGGGCTGTGTCTGGAGGAGCAAATGCTCTGGAAACTGGGCTCCCGCTTCCCTTTGGCCGTCACAACGTCGGAGGGACAGACCTTTCAGTGCAGCTCCCGAAAGGCTTTGCTGGGAGGTGCAGAAGGGCCACCAGAAGAAGCGGGGCTTTGCCAAAGTGCACACAGGGCCAGAGGGCCCAGTCGAGTCAGACGCCCAGCAGGAGAGGTTGGGAGCAGCCGAACTCCTGGCCCTGATGAAGACGGGCCACCTGGGAAATGCTGCTGTCCCCGGAGGCAGCCGTCTTGGGGACAGCGATGTCACCTTGAACCCAGACACTCCGCAGCTCAGAAACCACCACTGCAGACAGGCTGGGGACTGTCAGTGCGGGAGGGGGTCCCCGAAGACCAGCTCCTGCAACCTGGCATTGCACCGCTGCCCAGCGGAGAAGAGAACGGGACTTGGTCCAGGCCATTGAGCGGCCCGCCCGGAGCCGGGACCGAATCCTGGCCGGGTGGCCCGCCCCCTTCCCCCGTCCTGGGTCCGCAGGTTAGGGGCAAGGGCGTCCTCCGACCGAGTCACCCCTCGGGGGCCCGGCGGTACAGAAGTGGGACGCCCCTCAGCTGCGGGGTCGCCGCCGCGCACCCCGCTCTCGCGCCGGAGGCTCCCGGCCGCGCCCGGTGCCGCGACAGGACGGGGCTGCCTCGGTCACCTGCATCAGCTCGAAGACGTGGTACGTCTCCCCGTACTGGGGCATTTCCGGGGGTATGTGGTGCGGGGCGGTGGTCGCGTCCATGCCGCGGTGCCCCGGGCCCGCTCTCTGGAGACCGCGTCGCTAGGGCCGGCGCGCCTCCGCGTCATTAGTACGCGCCCGCTCCCTGGAGACCGCGTCGCTAGGGCCGCCGCGCTGCGTCATCAGCGCGCGGCCGCCGGCCCGCGAGGCTGGAGCCGGGCCTGGTCCCCCGCTCCTCCGCCCGCGCGCTCAGCCGCCGGGGGCCTGGTGCTTCCCCGGGGCAGGTGCTTCCCTGCGCCGGCCTCGCTCCGCCGTCTGCACGTCTCAGCGGGACCCCTCAGGCCGCTCCAGCAGTGGCCTTCTAGGACCAGAGGTGCCTCGGGAGGGCCCCCGGGGCTGGGACGCCCAGGGTCACGTCAACCCCCCCCACCCCAACCGAGGGGACGGGAGGCGGGTCCTGCGCTGGCTCCGCCATCGCACCCCGACCCGGGCGTTGGGAGCTCCGAGGGCCGCCTAGCTCTGCTCTCTGGGCCTCAGTTTCCCCATCTTTAAAATGAATAGAAGTTGGAGAACGGTTTGAAAAAGTAGGGGAGTCCCTGGGACGCGAAGGCCTTGGCTCACGGGGTGGGGCGGGTCTGCCACGTGACCCGATTGCTATGGCACCCACGGGAACAATCGGGCCCGCGGCCCCGCCCCTTCTCATCGACCTCCCCACCCCACCCATCCGCCTCCCCAGCCCCGGCAAGGGCCTCCCCGCCCCTCCGGGGCCCCAGACCCCCTCGGAGGCACTCCAGCTTCAGAACCCTCTGTAAGTGAAGGGCGCTCTAGGACCAGCAAGGTTAAAGCGGGCCGGGGGGCCAGGGGAAGGGAATGGAGGGGACCGGGGTGGCGTGGGACGTGGTGGAGGGAAGGAGCGCTGGCGGCGCACCAGTCCCCGTGGGTCAGGGCAGCCTGGCGTCAGACAGCACTGAACCGGGAGCTCTAGCTTTAGTCTGTTGCCATTTTTAGGAGGAGCTACTCCTGGTTTTGAGCTCTCAGTGTTCTTAACAAAACTATGGGGTCTGGGGCACCTGGGTGGCTTGGTGGGTTAAGCCTCTGCCTTTGGCCCAGGTCATGATCGCGGGGTCCTGGGATCAAGCCCCGCGTCTGGCTCTCTGTTCAGTGGGGAGCCTGCTTCTCTTCCTCTCTCTCTGCCTGCCTCTCTGCCTACTTGTGATTTCTGTCTGTCAAATAAATGAATAAAATCTTTAAAAAAAAAAAAAAAACTATGGGGTCTGTACATGACGGACAGACAGGACGTCTGACATTGTCGGTACAGACTGCCCCGAGTTCAAGTCCTGGCTCTTAGCCTGGTGAGCCCGCTCTGTGCCTCTTTCCCCCCGTGTGAGGTGGGGCTTATAGGAAGGATTCCAGAGCTAACATACCCGAAGTATGGGTCACTGCTGTGTAGGAAGTGCACAAGGCATAGGGGCTACTATTAGCCATATTACCTCGTTTGATCTTTGCACCTGCCCTGAGAAGTAGGTACTTTCATTCCCATTTTACCGCTAAGAAATTGGAGGATCCGAATGGTGAAAAGTAGTTGGCTGAGTGACTTCCAGTCATGAATGACTTAAGGCTTCAGTTCTTGACCGTGAAGCATTAAAATCAGAAGTCCCCTTGAAGATCTTCTAATCCAAACCCCCTGATTTTACAGCTGGATAAACGGAGGCCCAGAAAGGGGGAAATTCCTGGCTAAGTTCAGTTGTTAAGCAAAGGCAGAGCCAGGACTGGCATCTTGACACCTAGCCAAAGCCGTTACCACCAGCCACTTGCCCAGAGACATGCCCTCCAGTGGCAAAGACTGCCGTTCTTCCTCCTCCCCTCAGAGCTGCTTCCTCAAGGTATGCACCTGGGTTAGCTCGTGAAAGCCAACTGCAGAGACAGCTAGGGAAGAAGAGGGAGCTGCCTCCCCCTGAACAAAGAACACAACAACCAAACCCTCAATTTGCACTGGAGAGGTTCAGTTTGCTTCCTGGACATTTCTGAAATGACTTGCCTTTCTCCTCATTTATTTTAAGCCTTAGGCGCTTTTCATACCACGATTTAATCTTCTTTAGCAGCCTGGAAAAATACAAATCAATTAAAGCCTAAAACCTATGGGGTAATCATTTTTTCCTTCCTCCTCCCCCAGATCGAGAAGTGCCTGCACTCTGTGCTTTTCATCCACTGATTTGGCTGCACTGAGTCTCGTTCAAGGGACGATCACTTTGGATAGCTTGTTACAGCTCTTCTCACGACATTCCTGGCGTGCATGTCACAAGTCGCTAGGATCAAGAACCAAGTCAGTTTTGCTCTCAGGGGCTCTTGGGGCCACCAGCCAAGGTAGTGCTGTAGCCTTAGAGAACTTCACCGCCCCAGGAAGCCCCAGGAGGGTGGCAGGGAGTCAGACACATAGGGAAGCCCCCTAGGGGATGGGGAACAGAGAAAAGTCTCAACGGGAGTGGAAATAAGGCCCAGGGGTCCAGCCAGTATGTGGAACAGTAGGAGGGTTCAGGCAGCTTTTCAGGACTTTGGTATTCCCTCAAGCCAACCCACCTGCTCCCAGCCCTGGTCAGTCTGATGTCTGGCATGTCTGTCTCTGTGGACCATCACAGAGTGGGGAGGGAGCTATCCGAAAGCCCAGACTGTATAAAGTCAGGCAGAGCTGAATGGGGAATCCTGGTTTGCTCACTTCTCCTAGCTGGGTAACCTCAGCTTTGTCATCTGTCACGTGTGAATAATCATGGTTCCTTCATAGGTGAGGACTTGATGCATGGCCAGGGTTGTCCAAGGGCCCCCTGGAGGGTAACTGCTGTTAGGTGGGTTGGGTGGGTGTTGAGGATTTCCCCGAAGGCTGGAGCATGGCGCTAGTCGCCCCACCCCTCCTGCAAAGGACCCTCTTGCAGACCGTGAAGCCCTTCCTCCAACACACCCGTCCCACTGCCCTGCTTCCTTTTCTCTTTAGCATCTAAAACAGGGTTTGTTTACTCATTACTTTCTGCCTCCCACTCTGAAAGATAAAATCCGTCCAGGGAAGGGGATCTTGTCTGGATGCTGTGTATACCCAGCACTCAAAATGGTGTCTGGCGTATGGGAGGCATTGCAGAACGAATGAACGAACGAACGAATGAACTTATGACATGCTTCTCACCCCTTTTGGCCTCCAGTGGTTTTCCTAGCTTTGTCTGGCACTCAGGGTCCCTCGGCCTTACCCTGTCCAGTGCCTTCTGTGCTTGCTCACAATATTGCTACATAACCCCCTCCCAGCCTCTAGCCAGGGTCCCGCCCCTCTGCCCACCCTCCCCGCCTCTCTCTCCTTTGAGGTTAAGCCCTCAGCAGCCTCTGCTGCTTTCAGGGTGCACAGCATGCCTGTCGTGGCGTGCTCCCGTGATTGTGTGCACACCGTGTAATCACAGCACTTTGACCGCCCTGGCAACCAGACACTGCCGCATTCCGGGCCCTGGGCTCCACACCTGCCACCTGCCACCTCAAGGCTGGAGGCTGGCCCCGTCCTCTCCCGACAGCATGTTGGCACTCAGAGGCTCACCCCGAGGCTGGCAAGAAGTAGGGAAATCAGGATTTGAACCCAGGACTATGGGACTCCAGGGCTTGGGTTCTTAACCACCCACCACAGCCCTGAGTATTAATGGGGGAAGGCCAGGCTGAGAGCACGTGCTCCCCTCCTCCTCCCCAGAGACCCACCTGTGTGCTAGGCTCCGACTTTTCTAGGCCTTCAGCCCCACGGCACTGATAAGCCCCAGGCCCAAACTAGGCAAACTGAGACAAGTAAGGCAGTTGCCCTGGCACAGAATGTGAAGGGAGCCCCAAGCCCCTGTAATCGGGATGAATAACATTTTAAAAAATCAAAATAAATGGAAAAAATCCATCAAGAGTCAACTATTAAAAATTTAAAGACGGGATCAGTATTGCTTGTTCCCAGCACTGGATCCCATCCCGCGTTTATGTAAAATTCAGGTACTTTGTGGACTTTTTTGGTATTAACTTTTATTTCTTCAAATAGCGTGTGAAATATTTTTACCTGGCTCAATTGTTGCGCTCTGTGGTGTCCCCCAAAATTTCACACCGCGTGCCTCACCAGCCTCACCCGCCCGGTAAGCCTGTGCCATGGGAGGCACAACCCAAAACCTTGCCGCATTTCACCACGCCTGCCCCCGCCGCCTCTGGGCAGGGGATAGGGGGACCTTGGCAGGTGGTCCAGGTGTCTGACAAACAACAGGCCCCCACCGCATCCCCACAACCCAGGCTCCCCTTCCCACTCACCCACAGTGGGCAAGGGACTGAGTGGGAGACACCGGCGCCCTTCCTGGCCCTGGCCCAGGTCCCCCACCCCCATGGAGCTGCGGTCGCTGGGGGTGAACAGGCATGGTGGCCCCCAGGGTGGGGGTGGGGGGCGGAGTTGGGCACGGCTCCTGAATGTTCTCGATCCACTGAGGTTCACAGGGGACCGTTATCAGGGCCCATCCTGGCGAAGCTCAGCTCCCAGCACCCCGCCACCCCCCACCCCAGTGTCTCTGATGTGCTGCCCCCTTTGTGTCCTGGAGGCCACCTTCTCGTCTGTTCTTGCATTTCCTTCCATCCCTCTTCTTGGCATGGAGACGCCCTCCCTGCTCCAGCCCTGCCATGGGCTCCGGATGCTGAGGGAGACACAGCAGAAAGAAACGGCCTCCTGTCTCCCTCGGGCTCGTTCCTCTCTACCTGGGGCCTGCCGGGAAGCCTGGAATGTCTCCGGCCCCACCCCGGCCCTTGCGGCGACTCACTTGGACCCTAGCTTGGCTCAGCCGCCTCTGACCCCTGCTCACGCAGGGCACAGGAAGTGCAGGTGCCTCGTGGCGGAGGTGCGGCGGCTGGGGCAGCCTTGAGGACTGTGGTTCGGTGTCAGGAAGCCTGGGACCTAGGCTGTGTCTGACAAGCTCGCTGTGACACCTGGACTTCAGTTGCCCCGCCGGGAGCTAAGGGGGGCGGTGTTCACCGACTGGGTTCTCTTCCGGTTCTGGCGTTCTGGGACCTGGGACCTGGGCTTCTGGCATGGGCTCAGCAAAACCATGATGTCACAGAGAGCAGAAGCCACAGCCTTCTCTGTTCACAGAAGATTCTAGACACCTTGTGGACTACCTGAGCCACACCAGGGACAGTCTGTGAGGCACCAAAAGAGAGCACGCCCCACGGCGTTCATGTTTCCCAACAGGCTCATTCCCGCAATGCACGTGGGAGGCAGGGAGGAGTTGCCGAGGGCCAGCCCCTTCCCTGAGAATGTGCCGGCCTGAGATCAGGGCTCCTGACCCAAGCACAGAGCAGGGAAACCGCATCTTCTCACACTCGACCCCCTAGTACAGGCTCTTCCTCTGCTTGGCCCGCTGGAAACAATCCCTAGACTTTGCCACCAATTGCAAAGAGGCAGATGTTTTAAAATGATTTGGTCCAAAGGGATAGTCACAGATTTAATTTTCTGTGACGTATTTTGTGATCCCCTCTGTGGCTGACAGCACAGGAAGGCACTGGAGGCTGTGTGTGTGTGTGTGTGTGTGTGTGTGTGTGTGTGTGTGTCCACGGTCTGGAGAAACTGGGGACCAGAGTAATCCTTGCCCACACTTGAGGGAAGAAAGTCACAGCTGATGGCAGAGAACATGTCCTGGGAGGGTACAGGGACGTGGGTCAGGTTCTGCTTCAGTCTTGAACGGCCTGGAGGATCTGCAGTGAGCACGGTGCTCCCCCAAGGGGGCCTATGCAGGCTGGTCTGGGACTCCAGAGCTGGGTCTGCAGCCTGTACCCGGGGCCTCACCCCCGCGCTCTTCCTCCCCACAGATCCCCGTTCTCCTGTGAGTGACCGCGGAGGAAGACCATGAACGAGGTGAAGGAGTCTCTTCGAAGCGTCGAGCAGAAGTACAAGCTCTTCCGGCAGCAGCAGTTCACCTTTGCCGCCGCCCTGGAGCGCTGCAGGGAGAACGCCCATGACAAGATCCGGCCCATCTCCAGTATCGGACAGGTGGCGGCTCCTGGGCTGACGGGCGGTGGGGCTGGGCCCTCGGGGGCCTGCCAGGCGCAGATTTCCTGGGCAATACCTTGCTTGAAAGATGAAACTGAGGCCCGGAGGGGGCAGGCAGCTTTGTGCCAGAGACAGGACTCGGAGCCTGACTCGTGGAACGAGCCAGGCGTCCCCTCCCCAGGCCTGTGAGGAGGGGTTACAGACTCGGGCTGGAGACTGGAGGCCAGGGTTCAGGTCCCGGCTCGGCACCACGTGCCCTCTGTGACCTCCAGCCCGGAGGCACCTGTCTGTGCCCGGTTGTCTGCTCTGCAGAGTGAGAACCTCCGGGGAGTTTGCGGATTTAGGGAGATCATGAGGGAGACTCTCAGCCAGTGTCTGACGCCTGTGGTCCTGGCTGTCGGACACTAGTGGGGTCTGAGAAGCTGCGAGGGGCCAAGCACACTGCTCCGCCCTCTAGCCCCCATGTGCAAACCTTTTCACTGAACCTGGTGTCCTCGTGGGTTAGCTGCTATCTCAGTGTGCTCTGCAGAACTTGGAGGCCTCGAGGCCGAGCACACCTTCCAGCAAGTAGCGCACACCTAGGGACCGTCCCAACTGCAGACATGCTGCGGGCCCACGAGTCAGCTTGTGGAAGGCCAGCCGCTCACGGGGTGGGGCGGGTGCGGGCACTAGAGCTGTGACCTGCTTAGGAGAAGCGCACAGACCCACAGAGAGCAGGAGCCCTGCCAGTAGCATCCTTCAGAAACTTTCTTCTAATAGATGTAAAAGCCTCTCTCGATTTTTTAACTTGAACATTTTTTAAACCTACAGAAAATAGCCTCTTTCCCCTGAACTATTTGGAAGTCAAGTAGCTACATTCTTTTTGTAGCCCATTCCCCAAAGGCTCAGACTTCCAAGGCCACTGGACAGGTTTTCAGTGTCAGGAAGGAGCATCTGAGACCCTCACCCCGCCCCCGCCCCAGCCCCCATTCTCTGCTTGACTCTGCATCAGTCAGTGCTCAGTGGCCCCAGCCCCTCATGGGCACAGGGAGTGGTCTTCTCGCCTTCAGTTCAGCAAAGGCTCTTGGTAAACAGTGGCCCCAGGGTTTGACTCTCCAGGGGAAGCGTGGACTCTCGGGCCTCACCCTGCCGTCCCCGGACCTGGGTTACCCAGAGGTGACTGACGCACACACACCAGGTAGCCCAGTGACTCTGTTGGAGTCACCCTGCGGGCCAGGCCTCCCTCGCCCTCCGCGGCAAATATGGAAGCTGCCAGAGCCTCTGCCCCCACACGGAGCTGCTGCACTTGGAACCACTCAGATCATTGGGGAAGACCTCCCCTGGCAACAGAAGGGCAACCAGCAGCAGCCAGAAAACGCTGGTTTAGACTTAGAATGTTCTGGCTGCTAGAGGAGGGAGGTTAAGCCCCCGGCCACCCGCTCGTCACAGGTAGGGCCTGTGTCTGGGAAATGGGCCAGTGAATCCTGCCTGGACGGGAACCAGTTCCTCCTCGGCCCGAGGCCAGGCCTCCTGGCTCGCCTGACCTCAGAACCAGAGCGATGCGGGGAGCGGAGTCCCAGGTTGCCTAGAGAGGAAGAGCTCCTGCCTGGGAAGGACCTCGGCTCCCCGCCAAGGAGTGGGTTGAAAGTGGGTCAGCCGTCTCCCCGTTCTGAACACCTTTAATGACCTGAGAAAGGCGTCCCAACTCCTGCGTCCAGAACACGGTCACGGGGAGCTTTCGTTCTGTTTTGGCATTTAAGTGCTTTCTCCTAGAGTTGATGTCGGGGTGTGTGGTGTGAGGTAAAGACGTTTTCTTCTACGGATGATCCCTCTCCCGGCTCCCCTGTCCCCCCCCTTCCTCTGCCTTGGAAACACAGGACAATGACTCTTCAGAGGATTCTAGTGTCTTCTCCGTGCCCCGCAGTGGGTCCCGCGTGGGCCTGTGGCATCCAAGGTCAGGGAGCCGTGCTCTGTGCTTCAGGTGCTGGCGGGGCTCAGAGCCCGAGCCGGGGCAGGGGGTGCCGTCTGGCCACATTCATTGCCGGCAGAGCAAGTTCTTCACCTCTGAGCCCCCGCCGGTCACAGGCAAACTGAGGGCTGCAGAAGGCGCCCGGTGCGTGGGGTTTCAGGGGGCGAGTTGCGCACAGCAAGGCCTGGCCTGCACGGCGCCCGGGACCCTCCGTCAGTGTGACTGCAGGCAGTGGCTCTGCGTTCAGACGCTTCGGGGTGACTGGTCCCCAAGCTCCCGTCGTGCGCGCCCTCGCAGGTGCAGAGCTACACGGAGCATTACTGCAACAACTCCACGGACCGGCGGATTCTGCTCATGTTCCTGGACATCTGCGCGGAACTGAACAAGCTGTGTCAGCACTTCGAAGCCCTGCACTCCGGCACCCCGGTCACCAACAACCTGCTTGAGAAATGCAAATCCCTTGTTAGCCAGAGCAACGACCTGAGCAGCCTCAGAGCCAAGTAAGTTGCTTCCTGGGCCTGTTCCGGTGGCCTGTGCGCAGGCGGAGGGGAATGAGGCGGGCGGGGACGGGAGGGCCCCCGCAGGAGGGAGCAGGCTTCTGGGGAGAGGGCAGGTACGTCCCACGGACAGAGCCTGTGGCGACAGTCTGGACCCGCTGCCCCAGTGGGAAACCCGGGCCCACAGGCTTACTGGAGGGGCCAACCCCACAGGCCACTTTATTGCACACGAGGGCTGCTGAGGCCACAGGTAGAGCGGGACCCAAGCCCTCTCCCTGGAGCTGGCACTGGGCGAAGGGAAGGGGGTTGCAGGGCCCAAGTTTCCCAGAAGCCCATGGAGAAGCCCCAACTAGGGCCAGTGTGTGCGGCTCCCTGACTCTGAGCCCTGGCGCCCCTCAGCCCAGAGCGCCCTGCTCTGGAGCACACTGTTGAGTTATCGGGCTGGAGAGGAGGCAGCGGGACCAACCAGCATGTTTTGGAGTAGTTACAGGTTTCCAGCGTCCCTGACTGACAGTGGTTCGAGGGTCCTGCCCCTCACAGCTGGATCAGCCGGGGCTCCTGGGCCACGAGCCCACCGAACCACACAGTTCGGTAAAGAGTGCGGCCAGGCCTGCACGGCTCAAAGCCTCCCCTGGGGACTGTGAGGAGCGTCCAGGACCAGAGCCTGCCCCGGTCTACACGGAGCCCCTCCTGCCGCCCCGCAGGTACCCGCACGACGTGGTGAACCACCTGAGCTGCGACGAGGCCAGGAACCACTACGGAGGTGTCGTCAGCCTCATCCCCATCGTCCTGGACTTAATGAAAGAGTGGGTCGCCCACTCGGAGAAGCTGCCCCGCAAAGCCCTACAGCACGTGAGTGAGCCCCAGGCACACCAGGAAGCCGCCGGCGCGGCCGCTCGTCCTCCTTGGACCGCAGGCTCCCAGCCTCAGTTAAGAAAGCACAAATGTAGGCGACTTATAAAACACAGCCCCAGGCCTAGGGGGAAGGACAGAGGATGTTCCAAACCTCCCTGGAGACCACCCGGCGGGAGACTCTAACTCAGAGTCGGCAACCTGGTGCGGCCCGTAGGGCGCTTGGTCACTTAACTCGGTCTCCACCGGCGGATCCATCCTTCGGCCCCCCCAGTCCCCCCCCACAGATGAACCCCAGAGAGCTTGCCCAATGTACTGTCGAGAACCTCTCTCCCTCTCTCTTTCACTGCTAAGCTCTCCCCGCCTCTGAGTGTCGGGCTCTGTGCCAGCGACAAGGACCCCACGTCCAGTGTTGTTGCGAGAGGGTGTCCCGGGGAGGCTGCTGAGAGCTGGGGCCAGCGGCCTGCCCGGGTGCTCTGGGGGCTTCCAGCCTGCACCCGGCCAGGCCTGGCCACGCTGCAGTTCTGGCTTTCGGGCTGAGCCGTTGAGCCGGAGGCCTGCTGGCGCCTTTCCCGCCGCTGTGGCAACTGCAGGTGAGGCCCGGCTGCTCGGCCCGCGGGGGCGCTGAGGGCCAGCACGGTGGCCTTCCTCGGTGTGATTAGGTCTCCGGACCAAAACCCGAAGGGGAATGAACCTGGCTTTGCTCTCCTTTACTTGGGAGAGGGAGACCATGAGAGAAGCTGGAAGAATTCTGATTTCGTGGCTCCTGTGCAAGGACCGTGTCCTGCTGTCCACAACACAGTCCTGGCCCCGACGTTCTAAAATGTGTGTCTGGCTTCTGAGCTGGAAGTGCCGGCTGACTGTCGGCTTTTCCCTCCGCAGGGCGCAACCTAGCTTCTGTGTTCTTGCTTCCTCGGGGCGGCCGACAGGAATAAAAAATTGTTCTTCCACCTTTCTGCCTGGCTCGGGTTCCTGGGAATTATTCCTCACAGAGAACAACATTCACCCTCAGACCTCAGAGGACACTGGCCGGTGGTCTCACAAGCAGCGAAAGCGCGGGCCAGGAGCACCCACTGCAGACTCTTGCTCTCGGGGGCTCATGCCGAGGCCCACAGGCCGGCTCCTGACTGGCCTTCTGTAGCTAGAAGCTGTTCAGACAAGATCTGAACAGACACCTGAGCTTTCCAGATGGAATAAACACCGCCGTCTCGGAGTCTTTCTCTCCGAGAGCTGCTTCTGCCGTTAACGCGGGCAGAGCACGCTGGCTTCCGGGGCAGCTGCAAGTGGCTGCTCCAAGGAAGAGATGGAGAGGCAAGGCTGGTCGAACCACCGTCTGACGTGGTTCCCTGCCTGCCTCAAACCCCTGCCAGCGTAAGGGAAGGACGGCGGTGGGTGCCGCCTGCGCTTTCCCTGGCACGCTCACGGCATGTGACCGGTAAGCTCTCGAGGACTTCCGTGTCACCTGGGCACCCGAAAGGCTTTTTTTTTTTTTTTTTTTTTAAGATTTTATTTGTTTGACAGAGAAAGATCACAAGCAGGCAGAGAGACAGGCAGACAGAGAAGAGGAAGCAGGCTCCCTGCCAAGCAGAGAGCCCGATGCGGGGCTTGATCCCAGGACCCTGAGATCATGACCTGAGCTGAAGGCAGAGGCTTTAACCCACTGAGCCACCCAGGTGCCCCTCGAAAGGCCTGTATTAAAGCCAACGGCCCGCCAACCCAGAGGGAGGCGATTGCACTAAAGCACGAGGCGGGACAGCAGCACGGGCCCCGCAGGCCACCCGGCTTGGAGAGCCTGGGTGGGGATGACCCAGGTCACCCCCCCATGCCACCAGGCCCATCCGTGGGGGAAGGTGGGAACTGGAGGCAGAGACAGGATCTATGGCTGTGGGTCAGAGAACTGGCTGGAACAAAAAGGGTCTCAGAGAGACAAAAGGCAGATTCTACTTGCCAGCATCTCCTCCAGCCACCTGCGGTGACCAAGCCAGGCTGGAGCCTTCTGCATCCGTGGGCGGGTCCCTGCTTGGCCTAGGAGTCCCTCGGAGGCCAGCGTGAGTCACGTCATGTTAACACAGCAGAGTAGTGCAAAACAATAGATTTTTATTTGTTCACAGTTAAACAGAAGCAACTGCCTTGACATTTTAGAACATCCTAAGAAGGACAGCAGACCCTTCGATTCCATTTCCCATTCACTAAGATTGTACCATTTTCTCTCACAGTTCTTGTTTACGGCATCTGACGTGGATTGTTTGACATGCTTTTAAGATCGAGGCGGGAAGGTTTAAACCTTTTGACAAGAGAGGACTTTCTCAAATTTAACTAAAAGCAGTCAGTTTAAAAACCCTTTTTTTTTCACTGATGGGACCCTTTACACCGCACGTTAGCCACAGCAGCTGACCCATGATTGAATTACGAAACTAGATTACGTCTTAACAACATCTGTTCCTCCGTTACAGATTTATTATGGTCCACAGAAGTCTTCCGAAAAGTGATCACTGATTCTTCCTCGTGCAAAACGCCCGGCCACCTCTTTGACCAGCCGGAGTGTCTGCGGGTAGCCTCCTGTCTGAACACTGTAGCGAGTGGGGGAAGGGAGGAGGGGTTGATCTGGGGGTTCTCAAACTCGCAGGGGTCTCCTCTACAACATCTGTTCCAATGATTCAACTAGCCTACTTTTCCCAGATGGACGATTTGGTGGTGGAGAGAAAGGGGGCAGAGGGCTCCTCTGTAGTCGCAGACACGGGCCCTCCCTACCCCAGGCAGGCTTCCCTCGTCGCTACGGCCCCTCTTCTCTCAGGTGAGCACATACAGACCGGAGGACGGCGAGGCAAAGATGGGAACCCACTCTCCCCGCGAACGTCAGAGCAGCACTGATGGGGACATGAGCCACGTGGGGACAAGGGTCACAGCAGCAGCCTTGAAGCCAGGCCCCGACCTACACGTGCTCTTTCACCTACCCAGACAAGCGTCATCGAGGGCGACCGATGGCACCGCTGCAGCTGGCGGGGGGCGCACATTACAGAAGTCTAGGCAGAGACAGACACAGACGTGCTGGGGCTGGAGACGTGGGTCAGTTTCTAGCAGGCACCCGGGCAGTGGAAAGGAGTAGAGGGAGCTGCGCTGGCGGGGGTCATTCCACGAGACCCTCTCGTCCCTGCAGATGTGGGTGGCATCAGGCCTGTCCCGGGGCCACTCTGAGAGGGGCTGGCCTCTCCGAGAACATCCCCGGGCTGGGTGGCCCTCCACCCCAACCGCAGCTCCAGACCAAGCCTCTGCACCGCCACCCCTGCTCAACCCACGTGGCTTCCTCCCCCCACCACCACCTGCACGTGGCACTTCCTCTCTCTCATTCTTCCATTCCTTCTGGCTTCAAGTGGCGTGTTCTAGTATTTGGTACAAACCCCACTGGCTAATCACAGCACATGCTATATTCTCTACATAGAAACACCCATGTTTTCATTTGGAACTGGGAGTCTGAACCCCCAGGGCCCAGCTCACAGGGATCCCCTCATCGCAGCCACCATAGCAGCCATCCCCTTCTACACAACCACGAGACTTTGGCCTCTTGTGACAAAACCACTGGAAACGGGGACAGCCCAGGGTGTGGAATTTCCTTTCCTGTCCTCCTGATTTGGCCCCATGATGTGCTGGCCTCTTGGACCACAGTGGCACCGTGGGCTCGCCATCCGTGTCAGTGGCTCCCAGGTTCCCTGCTCAGAAGAGCTGGCCCCTTTCCGCCCCACATGGCATACGCGTTCTGGTTCACACAGCAGCTGCCCCCACGGAGCCTACTAAGAGCCCCCAGCAGCTGGGACACTCTGCTGACCACGCTAGGGAGGCCACGGCCGGCCTAGCATTCAGCTGCACAGACGCCTTTAAAACCTCCTACCCAAGAAATGACCTGTCTCCTGCCTTTGGATTTTTCTTTCTTGTGACCAGATCTTTCTTCCAATGCTATACTAACAAATTCTGTAGATTTTAGGGCAGAACCCTGTCAAAAGCTTTTTAAAAATCCCTCCAAGTCCCGTCTGAGAGAGGTCCGTGTGCTTCCGTCCTACAGTGGACTTGGGAATGCACTTTCTCTATGGAGAGCCCGCAGCCGCTCCGTCCACCCCTGCCCACCGTCCCCCACCCCAGCCCCACCCCCAAGATACTGCGGTGCTACTTGTGAAAACGAATTTCATGCTGTCCGAGAAGCAGACTCCAACCCCAGGGCCCGCGCTGGCCTTGGCTCGTGTCAGGTGGGGATCAGAGCAGGTCACGCACACTGGCCACGTGGCTCTGCGGCAGGCGAGTCCGCCCCAAGTGGCAGGGCAGAGGCAGCCCAAGCCTGACCTGCGTCAACACCGGCTGCTGCTCGACCGTCTGGAGACCGGCTCTGCCCCCGATGCTAACTGTTCTACTTCATCTGCCCTGGCAGCTCCCAGACCCGGCTTCCCTCCCTCGTGTCCCTCTGCCCTCACCTTTCCATCCTTAAAAAGATTCGCTGCAGCGCAGTCAAGTGACCTGTTGACTCCTGGCAGGTTTTTTGTTTTTAAAACCAAACTAAACCTTACTACGGACTTGAGTCCCTTGTGGCATAAAACCCTAAGTGTTTAGGCTGCGTACCTCAACACCCCCGGGCCTCAATCCCCCAGCCGCGGCCGAATAAAAAGCCGGGACCCTAGAACCCAAAGAAGCCGAGCACAGTCCCCTTGGGTCAGCCACAGTCACTGAGCTGAGCAGCCACCAGGGCCCGAGGGATGCGCCAAGGGCCCTGGGCCCAGACGCCTGTCCGCGGAGCCTCCCTCGCAGGCCGCGGCTCTTGCCACCACACTGCCTCCTCCCTCCCTGTAGTCGTACGATCTGCTCGGTTCTTAAAAAATATTTTTTTTTTTCTTTACATCAGCCTCTGCCTTTGCCAGTTAATCAGGGAAAAGGCTTTGATTTAAATGCCTGGTGTCTTTGTTCTGGGCACGGGTCCCTCGGGTTGGGGGAGGGTAGGCATTCTGACCTGGTTTCAGTAGGAATCCTGTTAACATTTTTTTCCTTTCCAAATTTGTTCGTGTTTTGCTTTTCTAAAACTGAACTAGTAAATAGAACAGGCTCAATTTCAAGCTTTGGACAAAACAATTCCCCACGTGCGGTTATTGCAAGTCCACACGGGACGTGCAGCGGCCGCTGGCGGGGCAGGCTGGGCAGGGCCGGGCAGCGGGGCGCACCGGGAGACCCTGCCCTGATGAGGTCTCGCGCTAGCACAGTTGTGGCGACACAGCGTCTCTCGGGACCTAGGCCCCTCGGGTTAGGAGTGCTAGAATATCCACTACAACCCTAGAAAGAAGAGACCTTTCCCCTCACGTGCTGGAAGCGTCTGTAAGCAGTAAGATTTCGTACCATTACAGTCCATCCTTCCCCCACCCACGGCTGAACCCTCGTATACTTTTAACTAAAAGAATAAAAAGAAAAAAACCAAGTTCATCGGCTCTTTCCTACCAGTCTCCCCGGCCTCAGCTGGGATACTAAGCAACAACTCTTCGGCTTCTAGCTTCTACCTCCGGAGCCAGTGTTCAGAGGCTGCGCTGGGGTCCCCTCCCCTGAGCAGGTGCGGGCAGCCTGGGGTGCATGTCAGACCGCCTTTGTCAACGCTCACCGGGACTCTGCCCTGGAAGGCTCAGCCACTACCAACGTGCGGGAGGGGAGCATCGCCAAGCTCCCCATGGGGTTGGCCCCGGAACGTTCGGCTGGCGTGAGAAAGCTGCTACCTTTTTGGTGGTCTAGAACCAGCAACAGCAAGGCGGCTCCAGCAGCCTGAGAAGCAACGGTCATTTAAACGCTGAAGAAACTCTTTGGACCTTCAGAGCCTTTCTGCGGCAGCATCGCCAAGGAGCTGACATAAACGAGAGGCTCACGGGAACACGAAAGGAGACAGGCAGACAGACTGGGGTGGGGAGCTGAACCCCGAGGCTCAGTTAGCACAGCCCTGCCCGAGGGACAGTTCCTCGTCCACAAGGGCTTCTCGTGCAACTGCTCAGCCCCCCACTCTCCCCTCCTGCAGGGAGCAGGTTTCACCATCCCCACGCCAGCCTGGTCGGAGCGGTCCCAGCTTTCCAGCAAACACCAAATAAATAAGAGGTAGCGGGGAAGGAGGGACAGAGCATTCCCAAAGGGGAAGGGCGGTCTCCATGGCGCCAGCTCCAGATGCCTCTAACCAACACACGGTTTACACAGAACTTTCTAGAAAGCTTAGCAGAACCGCCGAAGAACGGACGGGCGAATAAACCACTGTTTCCCTAGAGCTGCTGCTTCAGGGGCTGCGCTTCAGAACCAAAAAGCAGTGACAAGGTCTCACGTGAAGTCAACCAGCTTCGCAAGCTACCCCCCCGCAGAAAGGGACAGAACCAGACTTACCTGCGACACCACAGTTACCTGGGCTAACGGAGAGCCGACCCGTTCTCCGAGTGTCAGGAAAGGAGAGAGTGTGTGTTAGACTCAAAGATTCAATCTGGCCTCATATTGCACAGGTTCAAAGGGCGCGGCCATTGCGGGGGAAGGAAGAAAATAAAGCTACTGAGGAGCTGGCCCTCGGATTAGCCCACACTGGCGGGTGAACGAGACAGGCTGGGGAGCGGGCTGAGGGGGGACTTAAGAGGCATTTCAATGCCAGATCCAAAAACCGTTCTGCATTCAGTCAACTGTCAAAAGGACCTCCATCCCGTTGCCACCGCGTGAGCTAGCCACCCAGACCCCGGAAACAGGAAAGCCTGGGCACGTGCATTCACACCTCCTGTTCTAAGCCAGCAACCTGCAAGTTAACACTGATTGACCGTCATCCTTCGCTGTGCTCATGATGAGTCTCGTTGTAGTCCATGATGTGCAGCTGTCCAACACTGTCCAGGTTTGGGGGGGAAGGGTGCGGGCCGTCGGGGTTCAGGGGGGTCTTGGCTTCCGCACCCGGGTCTCTGCCCAGTTCTGTCTTTAGCGTCTCAGAAAGGCTACTGATGGTCACGCCGTCTTCATCACACTGGCTCTCACTCTTATTACGAAATAACTCTCGTGCCTTCATGCCTAGGAAGCTTTTTGAGCTGGGAAGGGAGCCAACAGTCGTGGGGATGCTGGTGGCGGACCCTCCCATGGCAGTTTCCCACCGACTGCTGAACAGGCCTGCCCTCTGGCTGGGGGGTTTCTCCGGGGTCGAGAGCTCGCCGCCGCCGCTGCCACCTCCACCCCCTCTACTTGCGCTGCCGCCCCCAGGTCGAGGGGGCTTGGTCTCGCCGTTGTAGCCAGATGACTCTTCGTTGTGCCCTGTCACAGAATCCGGGCAGCCGTCCTTGCAACAGGCAAGCCTGTAAGAAATCCAGGGAGGAGAAGAGGGGCGGTGTGGGCGGCGCTGGTGGGGATGGGAGGCGCGCGACTGCGCCGGCTCATGCCGACACCGAACTCTACGCTTTCGAGCGGGAAAACCCGAGCGTGAGGCCTCGGCGAGAGACACCGATTCTCAATGTGGGACGGGACGTGGAGATCACACATGTGAGCACTTCCTGTGACCACATCCTGCGATTCACGGCCAAGGACAGGGAACCAGAGAGGCCACCAGGGACAGTTTCTCACGCCCTGTTCTGCTGCTGGTGGCTCAGGGACAAGGCCACTGCTCCCGCCTCTTTGCTCCTACCTTTCTTCTGCCGCTTCAGCTGCTTCTGCCTTTTCTTCTTCAAGTTTCTTCAGGAGGCCGTCCTTCTCCAATCTGCCGTATAAATCTAAGATCTCCAATTCAAACACTTGGGTGATCCTTTTCTGAGCCTCATACCTGCTCTCTGCCGCCTGCAGCTGTCCTCTGAAACACAGACCACCCCAGGACATAAGAAGCCCCGCTGACAAAAGAAACCATCACCGCAGAAACCCGTGCCCACCGAAGCTACCTTGCCTGGACTTTGACATCTTCTAAATATTTCTTCTGCTCCAAGAGAAGGTGGTCTTTCTTGGCCAGGTGGGATTCCAGTTCCAAAATCCGTTTCTGGGAGGTATCAAGCCTCTGATTCTGCTGGAGAACGTGGCTTCTGTTTTTTTCTAGTTCTTTCCGACACGCGGCTTTCATCATCTCCACCTCCTACAAGAGGGGCTGGAGTTAGTCCCCGAGGAAACAAGCGTGCTACCTCCGTTGTGCGAAAGCAAGGCTCTGCGCACGAAGGAGGCGCTTTGGGGCACTGCTGCTGGAAATCTGAGGTGCTACAACTTGCTGCAAAGAAAGCTGCCAAGAAGTATTAATCTAGTGGCCCTTCCTTGAAATCCGCCCCTGAGGAAATCATCTGAAACATGACTAGGCACTTTGCACAAAAATGTATCACCGTATCACGTGGTAGAAGGGAAAAAACCGGAAGCATGTTAAGTCTAACGCCAGGAGAAGAGTGACTTAAAATACATTTTATACCTCTAAGTTTTTAGTAAACTTACAGTCTATGTATCAGTAAGAAAAAGATTTCAAAAATAGACTTTATATAAAAACACGTGAACGGGAGGCTCAACTACGTCAGCGTGACATTCGCAGACGCCAGATGAAGCTACCCCGATATCTGCTTCTTTCAACGTAGTGGGGTCGCAGCTGATCTGTCGTCCGTCAGGCTCTTCTCCCCACACACCGACTGAGGGAAAGGCAGCGGGCGCGGCGCGGTGGGACAGGCTCGCTCGGGCTCCCCGCAGCCCGCAGATCCCGCCAGGCAGATGGCTGCCTGCCGAAAGACCAAGCCAGCTGAGCCCAGAGCAACTCAACTAACTAAATAAAATCTTAAAAAAAAAAAAAAAAAGGATAGAAAACAAGGAGCAAGGATATGGAACTTCCATGGGGGTGTCCCTGCCTCGAAGACGACCAGTGACTGCTCTCCTGGAGTGGAACTCCACAGACTGAAACTCGGGACTGGGCACCGATCGTGGGATCATGGCCATTCTAGCCGTGCCGAGGGCTCCAGACTTCAGCACAGGTGAGGCGAAGCAGCCTCTGTCATCAGCGACAGTAGTTCTTTATGGAGAACCAAGCCGACCACTGGACTAGGAACATCCATGCGCCTCCACGAACCCTCACAACCACCGCAGGACGTCCTACCCCACACCTACCCGCCATGCCCAAGCAGATTCTCCGGTACCACCCTGCCTCCCCACTTGACTGAACAAGAGGAAGCCTGACTCCAGGTCCAAGGGCAAATTCTGACAGGTCCAAGGCAATGACTGAGCTAGGGATAGACACAAGACACGATCCTGGCCAACAGCAAGGGTGGGAAGTCTGGTGGAGGGTTCCTGGCAAAGTTTCCTCACTGAGAGACCCGCAGGAAGCGACCTCTCCTCTTCCGGGGGAGATTGTGGTGTCTGTCTACCCGTGACCGCCATTCCTGTGGCTCACACCTTGCAACCATCGGCACAGCTAGCCAGAGGACAAGGTTGCTAAGACAGGTCAAGTGGTGCAGGAGGTGGAAAAAACGGGACGCTTTTTTTTTTAAAGTAATCTCTATGCCCCACATGGGGCTCAAACTCACAACCCCAAGATCAAGAGTCACACGCTCCTGTCCATCTGTCCATACTCTTGATCTCAAGGTTGTGAGCTCAAGCCCCACGTGGGGTATAGACACCACTTAAACAAATTAAAAAACTAAAAAAAGACAAAACCTTAAAAAATTTTTTTTTAATTCTAAAAAGACAGGGGCATGCTCTACGGATTGAGCCAGTCAGGCACTCAGAACCGGGCTCTTGGATACTGTCCCTAAACTGACTGGGCCAGCCCGGAACCCACCGGCTTTCGGACTTCTTGCCAAGTGAAGTAACGAACTTCTTTTTGTTAAGGTGGGTTAGTGGCGTCTTTGTTCCTGCTTATAACCGTAGACACCCTAGCTGCTGTAAGTCAGGGTCATCACATCCACATAGGGACTGTGAAACAGGGTCCAGAGAGATCAGGTGGCTGTGGGAGGTCCCAGGAGTCCAAGTGCTCCAGCCGAAGGCAACAGCACAGAGGCCAGCCCAACTGACTTCTCTTGGCAGGTATCAGGAACGCATTTTGGTCAGCATTTTCAGAGGGTCTACTGTCTCTTAGGTCTCTTTTCCCCTCGTTCTTTTCCAAGCCCATTATACCTCCAAAATGACGGCTAGCTGGTTTCTAGAAAGTTCCACATTTAACATCCTTCTAAAGGGAGTCTGAATCTGAGAGCTGAGAGGAGCTGCAAAATAAGGAGTAACTCTAGTATGAAAATTACACCTCTCTGCTTCTAAGACTACTTTCTACATTTGGCCAAAAAAGCTTTACAAAGCACAAACCCAAGAAATCCTAAAAAGTAAGCCTGTGTGTGATGGAGAAGTTAGTGACAGGAGGCATCTGAGCATTTACTATTAGAATTCCATCCCAACTCATTCCCAGCTCATTCACTAACATTACCCGAGGCTATTTATAAAGTGACATAAAACTTCTGCCTCAACACCATTGGTGAGACACTAATTAGTGTAAGATCATGCCGATACTGGCCTTGTTGCCAGGACTGAACCGCCATCTGCTGAAATTAAATTCAACATTAAAAGGAAGAAAAAATATGTATACCAGTATACACCCACAGTCCCGAGCGTTATGTTCAACAGAACTGGCTTCCTATCCTTTTTTTGTTTCTCTCTCTCTTTCTCCCTCTCTCGAAGCGGGCACTGGTGAGAGAAGACAAACCCTTTATCAGCTACTCTGTACCAATTACCATGCGGCACTTTCACTTACCCTGACTTCATTGCAAAGCCAGCCAACCGGGGGAACAAGCTCGCACGACGGCCGAGGAGGGCTCGTCCGCAGGGCTGCGACCATGCCGTGCGGCCGCAGACCTGCTGCCTGGGTCCTGTGGGCTCCCCGCCCCCCAGGCGTGGCTCCCCGAGCCCCCACATACCTTTGTGGTGTCCGAGTGCTTGCTCTGCAGTTGTTCCAGATACAACTCGTTGACCTCCCCGAGGACCAAGAGCTGGCGGTTCAAGAACTCCATCTGCTGCTGGACCGACTCACTGTTCGAGAGCTAACCAAAACAGGGCGGGCAACGTGAGCGCCCCCGTGGCCCACATCTGGCCAGTGGGCGTACACAGGGGCCGGCTTGCAACTCCGGTGTCAGTGCTAGGGGACAATAAACTCCCACGGTTTCAAATCCCTTAACACAACGGCTAGCGGGGAGGAAGGCGTCCCACGGCAACTTCAAAACGGCGCTGAGCAAAGGGGAAGCAGTGGAGAGCCGCTACCTCAAAGTGGCCACCCACGGGATGCCTGCGGAGGACAGGCGAGTGTGACCTTCACTGCGGGGAAAAGAGCCCAGGGTTAAAGCCCAGGAAGACGCACTTGCTCGTACATAAACTGTACAGAGTGTGGTGAATCCCAAAACGGGATTTAGTGAGCTCAGGAGCATTTAGTGAGCAAACTCCCACGTTTATGTACACGAGGATCTAAGAGGGGGTTTCCAGGGGCACACACAGGCCCAGGGACAGGCCAGGTGCTCTTCCACTGCAGAACCTGTCCTGTGCATCGTGGGGTGGGTCGCAGCACCCAGGTCCCTGTCCACGTGATGCCAGTAGCACCAAAAGTGCCTCCACACATTGCCCCTTGCCCCCAGGGCGCGGGGTGGGGGGAGGCTGCCTTGCTCCCGGGTGGGAACCCCAGCTGGAGGTACGCAGATAACGGCCTCACCCCGTCTGGAGGAAGAACGTCAGTTAGAAGTGTGAGAGGAGAGGCAGCCTGCCCCGCGGCTTACCTTCTGGGACACCTGACTGAGCAGCAGCTCGGTGTGACACACCTTGCTGTTGGCCTTCTTCAGTTCCAGACGCAGCTCCGCGATCATGTTCCTGCAGTCCTCCAGCTTCGTCTGCCCGGAGAGACGCGCCAGCAAGTCACCCACCGCCTCCGGCCAGGGCACCACCCCACCCGGCCGTCGGCCCGCAGACAAGTGGGGGAGCCCAGCTTCGCAGCTGCTCCACTATTCCTGGGTCACTAGGATTTAGTTTCTTAGTTTTAAAAATCAAGTTATGGCTGATTTCTGAGTTCCTGATTTGTTTAGCAGAAGAACAAGAAGCTCTTAGATCCGCAGTCCCCAAACCAAGCCAACCCACAGGGCTGGGGCGAAGAGGTGTGAAGTGTCTAAGGGAAACACAGCGACACCTGCCGCTCGTCGTGTGAACTGCATGCTGGAGGCAGAGGAGAGGGAGTAGCAGACGTGCTGGCGAGGGCAGGGGATGTGGGCACGTCTGCGAATCAGGGATCTGGGGTTTGCTGGGATACAAAGCACTGTGTATACTGGCATGAAATGGGAAAAGAGGGCGTCGGTGTCCAGTGTGACTCCAAGGTCTGAGCCTCTGCGGTGCCCAACAGGGACACACACACAGCACTGGTGAGTCATGGTGGTCGTTTAAAAACAAAATCTACAACAACGTAAACTTGGGTCTACTGTCCTCAAATAGCTGCTGGGTTGTCAGGGCGTAAGGACTAAGTTGTTCAATCTGCTTAAAAGCACAACAGTCAAGGGTTTCTTTTTGCCTTGGAATGCCGGGAAGTGACCAAAATGCCACAGGAGCTGCGTACGACCTGAGCTGGCGGGGGAACCTCGGCCCAAGATGCCGTCTATGCGCCGCCGCATCAGAGAGAAAAGCCCTTCCTGTCCATTGGGCTGAGCGAGGCGCCTCCATGCCCAGTCCCAGCCGCCCGGGCCTGGGGCCGCCGCCGTACCTGCAGCTCCTGGCTCTGGTTGTAGAACTCCTCACGGTCGTGCTGCAGCTGTCGGATCTGGCTGTGCAGCTGGGCCACCATCGCGTCTCGCTGCTCCCGCAGCCAGCTGCACCGGGCCTGCTCCTTCTGCACGCTGACCTTCCAGATCTGGATGTCCTTCTCTTGCAACTTCAACTGGTCTTTCTAGCGGAGAGCAAAGACGTGATCATTTTAGCTGCCCCTCGACAGGGGCGGTGAGGCGCCCGTGTCACCAGTGCCGACGGCCACACCCGCCCTGAAGCTTTAACCACAGGCACCGCAGCCACCAGCTCGCGACGATCCAGCCAGACTTGCAGGCCGGGGCCACCAACCTGCCAGCGGCACAGGGATCGGGAGCCGCTGGAAGAACCTGTCTCAGGCGCCAGTTACTCCCAACACCTTCCAAAGTCCTAACCGCCAGCGCTGGCCCAAGACCTCTAATAAAACACCAAGCAGCCAGGTCCCTGACACCGGCTGCCACACCGGCGGTGAGCACGGAGTCCCGGGACCTCCTCAGGCAGCACGGCTGCAAAGTGGCTGCTGCTGTTCGCGCCCCCGTTTCGCGGAACGGGTAACAGAGGCTGCGGAGGCTGAGCGACTTCCCTGAGGGGAGGAGCGGCAGAGCCCCTCGGTCTGACTGGCTCCCCCCAGTGCTGTAAGATTTTTGTCACAAAACAGCTTCAGGAGAGCTGGTTTCACATTTGGAGGAACAAAATCGCGCCTCTGACTCTGTGACCGTTGTAGGCGATCACAAGTACACACGGAAGCCACTTGTCCCACCAGGGCCATTCGGTCACCCTCAGAGACCGAGCGACCACCCTGAGCCGTGGCGGCGCGGAGCCGGGACTGGACACCTGGGGCCTGAGCCGGCAGCCGCTCCTTTCAGAAGATGGAGCCCGCGCGAACCCCAGAGCCCGAGGCACGCCCTGCCCGCGGGCCCCGGGGAGCTCACCATGGCCGCGTTGTGCTCCTCCAGGGCCGCTGCCTTGACCGCCTTGCGGAGGAGCCGCCTGTTCCGGAGCGCGTGCTGCTGCCTCTTGAAACGCTCATACAGTAACTGGTTGTGCAGTAACAGCAGCTGGTTACGGAGGGCGCGGATCTCATCTGAGGGAGGAGAGCCTGATTTTAAAGCAGAGGGAGGGTGGCAGAGAGGCCTTTTACAGACGGTTCCGTCAAGACCCTGCCCCAGTCAGCCAGCTTCCGAAGCGCGCCTCTCGCAGCTACAAGTCCCTGCTCCCTCGGCAAAGGCCGCCTGCGTCTCAGCGACGGTCGCGCGTCAGGAGAGGGAGGAGGCCTGACTACCGGCTGCCCTCCGAAGCAGCACAAAATGCTAGAAGGTGGGAGGACTCCTGAGAGCTTCCTGACTCCGCCCCGCAGACCCAAACCATACGTACGGTTCTTCGAGGCGCCCTCCTTCCCCCAATGCTGGGTCCTCCACCAGGCCCAGCTCCTGACCTCACTGGGCTCTTTCCCACGAAAGCCGAGCTCGAGGTCGGCGCTTTCTGCAATTCCAGCCTCGAGCACCTGCTACGTGCCATTTTCCAGAAGTAGAAAATGCTAGCTTTGCAACGTCTGAGGTATTAGGGGCCAAGGGGATACGCTGGCTGGAGCAGCCCCCAAGGGGGACCTGTTCCTACAGGGCACGCCTCCTCCGAGGACAGAAAAGGCGACAAGCACACAGGATCCACGCGGGCTGGTCTGGAGTGCAAGTAACAACTTTACCTCCAAAGTGGGTCCAGTCAACAGACTTGCTGGGTAAAGACAACCTAGGAAGAAAGGTGCAGGGGGACAAAGTTACGGAGCTTGCCCGGACAGCCTTCTCGGGGCTGTTCATTGCCGCAAGGCTGGATCGCTTCCTTGCAGTCAAAAGCAGCAACGGCCTAACGAAGCTTCAATCCCCAGGTCCCCAGGCTGTCAGAGGTGGCGGTGCGCATTGGATGGGGGCTGGCACGCCCACCAAGCATGACAGGCTCCCCAGGGTGCGGACGCCCTCCCTTGGAGCTCGCGCCATGGCTGATCTCTGCTCGGCTCTCCGAGGCGACAGAGCGCCCCAACATAGCGCCACCTACTTTCTACTCAATGTGCCGTGTACCTGAGCCGTGTACCTGAGGTGCCATGTACCTGAGCCCGTTACACCAAATCTCATTCAACAAGAGAAATCTGTCAAATTCCACCTAAGATCATGACGTTGAAGAAAAATTAAAACCAAGACCTTGTTTAGCAAGAGCCAAGGACGCGAACCCTGGAACTGGTGATTCCCTCGCCCCCCTCCTCGATAACCGTTGAAAAGGGCTGTAGAGGAAAGATGGGGACAGTGGCTCAGGCCTCTCGGAGGCTAGCCTGTGTGCGAGCGCGGGCGTGCGGGAGGGGTCACCCTGAAACCACTGACTTGCTTTCCATCAGAGGAGCCACATTACCTACGGCCGGAGGAGGACACACCGGGACAGGGATTCCTAGGTCACCTGGATACCAGACCCCCTCACGTTCTCAGAGCACACAGCCCCGCAGGGCAGCCCCTGGGTGAGCTCGCTCAAGCGCCCTTGCAGGACAGGCCCCCTGGGGCTGGCGGCCGCACACGGGCAAAGGCATGGGCTGGAAGGACAGAGGGCAGCCGGCCGCCGCCATGAGCACGGAGCACGAGCCCCACTCCCCTCCTGCTCTCGCCGAGCCTCCTGCTGCGGGCACGGAGAGGGAAGGGACACCGTGGCGGGGCCTTACTTGCTCAGCTCCTTGCTGTGTGCGTCCGCTCCCTGCTGGACCAGCCTGTCCAGGACTTCCGCGGGGGAGGTCGAGGGCGGATAATCTTCCTCTGCGTTTCCTTTTGCTTTCTTTAACAGTTCCTTGGTCTTCTTGCTGACAAAATGATGGGCGGTCTTTGGCAACGCCACCTCAAAAAGATGATCGTAAGGGGGAGGCTGCCCACTTCCAAACCCCACTCCCCTCTGAGGCGGAATTTTACAAGGGCTGGGAGTGAGGATACTGGTCTCCAGCGAAGTCTGGCGCTCCCTGTGCCCGGCGGGGCTCTCGGCGGTGCCTCCGCAGGGCGGGTCTATGGGAGTAAAGGCTTGCTTTGGTGTGTCAGGCCCAAGCTTGTCCAGGGAGGAGTTTAAAGGCTCAGGGTTCACACTGGCGCCCTGAGCGCCAGAGGTGGCCGAATGGTTCTTGCGAGGACAGCCCGGGAGATTGTCCTGGTAGAAGGGAGAGTCAAAGCCTCCTCGAGGAACCAGGGGCTCGGTCTCGGCCGTCGTGATCTCGGACAGTTCTTTAGAGATCGCCGCTGAGAGGAGGGAGGGAGACAAGAGCCAGCACTGTCAACGGGCCACCTGGGTAAGGCCAGGCCGTGCAGGGCTGTGTGCTGCCACGCGGTGCGACACTTAAAGGGCCACCCCTTCCCCTGGCATAGGACCCAGAATACACCTCCCACATCCTTCCCGAGAGAAGAAAAACCAAGCAAGCCTGGGAGAGCTGACACTCAGCCCCGGTTTCAGGGCGCCATGAGAGTTTTACCATCTCGCAGTAATCTTGTACGAGCCCAGAACCCCACACACTACCTTCTTCTTTAGCTTTCTCGATGCTGTCCTCTTCGGAGGCGAGGTCTCCTAAAAACCCTGGAAGGTCACTTAGAGTGACAGAACCTTTGCTGCCAGGTAGCTCTTCTAAGGAGAAACGAAAACAGCTCACGTCAAAGAACTACATGGGTAACCCCCCAACTGTGAAAGCGCTCGCCCCGCATGGACGGCGTCCGTAAGCGTTCTTCCTGCCGTGTGAGGCGAGGAGGCTAGAACCAGCCCCCCCCCCCCCCGGAGCAGCCCCAGAACACGAGGCTACCGCAGGGAGTCTAATTAAAGGTACTGAAAAACATAACCCCACAGAAAATAAAATCCTCCATTCTCAACATCTGAGCGATCAGCTAAACACCACAACCTGACCAGCTCAAAATGCACATAACAGGTACTTCACGGCAATAACTTAAAGGCTTTTTTTGATGTTATTATTAGGTTGGTTTTTAGAATTAATTACGCCTCACTCTCTCTGGCCTTCATCAGTTTGTGGTGTTCCCGAATTTCCTTGTTTGCACACATAACCCAAGAAGAGACAAGCAAGGTCTAGGGTTACCCAGAGACTTTACCTAATCCTCTGTCATTCGGGAGATGGTGCTGTCTATGTAGACAGGGCCTTGCTGAATCTGTTTTCTCTTCCTGAAAAGATAGGTACCATTTATGTCATAAGGCAGAAAATTGTGTACGTGTTCTCTTGTGTAAGAGACATATCCTAAAAATCTAAACTTTAACACTTTATAAAAGAGTTTAACATTTGGCTCAGTGGTTTAAGCACTGTTTGGTCTCAAGTACCTTCATAGTCTTAAAAACCAGGAGTCCCATGAGCTTTTATTTATGTGGTTCTAGTACAGTTACTACACTAGAAATCAAAACAAACATTTTAAAAATGTTTACTACTTCACTTAAAAAAAATAAATCCAGGGCGCCTGGGTGGCTCAGTTGGTTAAGCAACTGCCTTTGGCTCAGGTCACGAACCCAGAGTCCCGGAATCAAGTCCCACATCAGGCTCCCAGCTCCACGGGGGTCTGCTTCTCCCTCTGACCTTCTCGCCTCTCAGGCTCTCTCTCATTGTCTCTCTCAAATAAATAAATAAAATCTTTAAAAAATAATAATAACAATAATAAATCCATTATATGTAAACATAAATGATACAAATTCTTACGAAAAATAACTACAGTTTCCAAAACAATACACATAAAGTCAGTGAGATGAGTGAACCTCTTCTGCCTTCGTGCTCCCTCTTCCGTGTCTGGCTGAATGGAAGGAAGCCGGAAGCTCAGACCAGCCTCTGCGCTCAAGCTGCTGCACTGTGTTATTCTGGCTAAAGCACGCGAAGGAACTTCTAAGCCCCAGTGTTAAGTAGTTATAAAAAGACTTAACCTTTGATGACTTGACAAGGAGTCATTTCTCAGGGGTTACCGCGTGGAATCTGAAAGGCCACGCCACCTTTCATGCTGTGTTCGAGACTGCGGGGGCACTCTGGGCTCTGCACTTTTGCCTACAGCGGCTCTGGACCATCGCACAACCAGACACTTAGAAGATCCTGACTCGCCCCATTGGGCTTCCCAGTGTGGAAATATTCACCACATGACATCAAAAACTCGATTATTCACCAGGCTCCCTAGAACTTTTCAATCTCTTCACAAAAGTCTCGGGGATACCATCAAGCTCACGGCGACAGAGATCAGGTTTTTTGTACTCTAATTTTACCTGGAAACTGAATTTTGCCACCAGCAGCAAAGCCTGTCCATTGTTTATTTTGAAGTGACAGCTGGTCACGTAAGCAGCAGCCTGTCCCATGCCCAGGTCTAAACAAGCATCGGCCATTGGTCGGCTGTCCCTTCTCATCACACTGGCGCTCCCCGAGAAATGCAGCTGGTCTAGCCGTCAACTCACGTCATGGCACCAGAGTCTGTGATGGATCCCCTATTTTCTCTCAAAGAATATTAAGTAGGTATGTCCTCAAGGGTCACGATATACTAAAATAAATCCTTCTTACTCCTTTCCATGAACACTCTTAAGGCACTGGCATTTTGGCTTTTTTATCTTTTGTTCTTTCAAACCGAAGACACACGTGACAGAAGGCGGCGTGCACCAGACAGTTTGGTGCCAGCCCTGATCTGCGCTGGGGGCCGGCCCTTCTCCCCCGCATCACTCTGTACCACGAGTGCAAACGCCAACGTGGTCAAGAGGGGAAAGGGCAGGTTAGTATTACTATGAACGCAGGCGAGCTCCTGGGTCCCCCAAGAGGCTTCTGGAGCTCCAGGATAAGCAGATAACACTCTGAGAGCTGCTGGCGAGTCTATATTCAGTTGCCCTGATCCAAACCCACCACATACCCGGTCCAAATTCCATCTGACATAACGAGCTTCGTGCCCAAAGGGAGGCCGCACGTGGGTCACCGAGCTGGGGCAGAGGGAGCGCAGACACGCCGGCACGTACCTTCTTGGGGGGTGTGGCTGTGGCCGGCCGCAGGGAAATGGGCACGTAGTCGTCCGAGTGGCAGAGCGGGGCAGGAGGGGGAGACGTTGCTGGGGTTCCCAGAGGGGTTCCTTTTCCACCTGCTCATAGGCAAGGACAACATATACACCATCACCAAGCCTATTAGAAAACTCTGAATCTTTTCAACCCGCCTGGGACAATGAAGAAAGCCGCTAGAGTGAACTTTCTAGGCGGCTTGAGTCATCTTTTTTTTTTTTTTTTTGGTTCACTTTCTAGGTTCTGAAAACCCCCAAGTTTTGTATGAACTGTCAACCACAGGCTGACTGCTGTAAGCAGCCCCAAACTCACTGCTGGATTAAGAGACAGTCCCTTGTCACACACAGCAGGCCCAAACCGACCCACCGAATCCCACCTCAGACGTACATACCAGTTGTACCAAAGACTTTACTGTAAGGGTGTGACAGCTCAGGTGGGACATTTCCAGGAGACGTTGGAGGAGTGGTCATACCACAAACCGTAGATGGGCTCCAGAGAGCAGCCTGGGGAGTTAATGAGGCAGGTCAGCAGTGAGAAAGGAACACCAAAGCATCCCTAAAGTTTATACTCATGACCGGACAGAAAAACGCATCTTATTAAAACTTTATTATGATGCATGTTGTAAATCTAGACTCCAAGAGAAACCCGAGTGGCAACAGTAACCACCTTTCCTAATACCACGTATCCTTAAAAATAATTCCTAAAATGAGCAGGGTGAGATCTTCCCGACCACATGCTGACTCCCGTCCCCCAATGGTCCGCTTCGCCCGCACGCAGAGAAGCAAGCGGGCACACTCTTTCACACCATACTTGTGGCGGCTCAGTCAACAGCCGTGTCGCTGGGGGACTCAGAGTCTGAGGTGGCTGCCCGGGCATATTTAACAACATCAGCCGAGAGCTGGAATACGGGGTCGAGGTAGCACTCCCTAAAATGAAAAGGAAAGAGCGTGTGAGATTAGTGTGCGATTTTAGATTATTCTGGGGGAAGAAAAAAACGGCCCCCAAACCATATGATAATGTTCATATTTTTTAAATAACTGAGGGGACTCCTGACGTCTTAGGGACAAAGTAACACCTAAATGCCTCTTTAAGTGCTCTTCGGAAATAGTTCAGTAAAGTTGTTCTTTTGTTTTGTTTTTAAGATTTTCTTTATTTGGGGCGCCTGGGCGGCTCAGACGGTTAAGCGTCTGTCTTCGGCTCAGGTCATGATCCCAGGGTTGTGGGATCAAGCCCCATATCGGGCTCCTTGCTCAGTGGGGAGCCTGCTTCTCCCCCCACCTGCCACTCCCCCTGCTTATGCTTGCTCTCTGTCTCTCTGTCGCTCGCTCTGTGTCCAATAAATGAAATCTTTTGAAAAGATTATTTAGGGGCACTTGGGTGGCTCAGTGGGTTAAAGCCTCTGCTTTCGGCTCAGGACATGGTCTCAGGGTCCTGGGATCAAGCCCCGCATCGGGCTCTCTGCTCAGCGGGGAGCCTGCTTCCCCTCTCTCTCTGCCTGCCTCTCTGCCTACATGTGATCTCTGTCTGTCAAATAAATAAATAAAATCTTTCCCAAAAGAAGATTATTTATTAAAATTTGGTTATTAAAAGATTATTTGAGCAAGAGCGAGCGGGGAGGGGGGAGAAGGAGGGAGAGGAAGAGGGAAAGAATGTCAAGCAGACTCCCCCCAGAGTGTGGCCCCAACTCATGGCTCAACCCCAGGACCCTGGGATCATGACCTGAGCCGAAATCAAGTCGGACACTCGACCAACAGAGCCATCCAGGCTCCCCGAGTTCAGGAAGGTCTGATGTCAAGTTAAGCTTCAGGGTAACTTGAAAAAGCACAGCCTGGATGAAACCTCTAATGGGTAGTACCTACAGATAAGCCTGGCTTTTCTAGAAACCAATTCTCAACTGTCCAGATTCACTCAAACTGTGTCCGTGAGTGCAGCAGCCCGGGGGCCTCACTGCGAGCGTCTGAAACAAAGACCCCCAACGGGGTGAAGCCAGGAAGGCGAACCCTCAGGTCCACACTCCTCGTTCTGTGTTCAAGACCCACCCCTGGTCCGCTGGCGCACCATCGGGTAGGAGGCCAAAGATGTGGGGCTCCGAATTAAACTTGAAAGAGGGGTTAATCGGGAGAAACTGGAGGCTTATTTTAATTTACAGCATCTGGGAAACAGTTCCTAGATGCTGCAGTGAGTCTCACCCCAGGAAAAGAAAAATTAAGTGGACGTAATGAGCCATGCTTTCCAGAGACGAAGCCAAGGTCACTCTTACCACAGCTATTCTGCGTGTCGACGTAAGGGCTGGCAGCCACATCGGCCGCACGATGAGGAAAGCGCGCGGACACCTGCGGGGACACGGAGTCGCCGTCTTCGTACGAGGCTTCTGCGGGGTCCAGAGAGATTTTGGCACACTCTATTACAACATCGTGTGTTTCTAATCTCTTCCACCTAGAAGAGGCAACAACAGTTAAGAAAGGCAAGCTGTAATCCATTTAATCAAACACCCAACTCTCAAGAACGCGAACGCAAGGCCAGGCACAGAATGAGGATTAGCGACGGACAAGGCAGAACCCCACCAGCCCAAGCATTACACCGTGCGGTGTACTAAGAATCAGGCATCCATTCTCTAAACCTCCACCTTCCCTGTTTAAACTGGGCACATGAGGTTATCAGAACCTCATCTGAAGCGAAAATGTCAACAAACAACTGGGCAGCGCCTCCAAAGAGAGCGCAAGCTACGCCGGTCACCGGGGTAGCTTCTCCCCCAGACCGAAGGTCATCAAAGGTCCAGGGAGGCCTGGAAACTGCTGGGTGGCTGCGGTGGGACTTAAGGTCTCCTGTCAGAGCCAAGGGGGTCCTACTCCATCTCTAGACCAGCAATACGGCGCAGAAAGACTCAAACCTCGAGAAAGCCCACAAGGACATTTTTTAAAATCAGCCAAAGATTCCTGCCGTATGACCCACAGTTCCACTTCTAGGATTTAAGCCTGTGGAAATCAACACACGGCAAGATACACAACCATACTCAGCACAGCTCGTCACAGGAAAAAGAAAAGAAATAACCCAAAATCACACCAAGGGGATATATTCTATAGAAGAAAAGTTATTACACCATCCTAAAAAGCATGCTCTCAGCAGGTCACTGGCTGCCAAGCGTCAGGAAGGAGACTGACCACAAAGGACACGGAGGAACCTTGTGGGCATATGACATATTCTTTACCGTGAGTGTGACGTTTGTCAAAACTGAACAAACTGATGAATCTTATTGTATGTCAACTATACCTCCCTAAAGTTGATTTTATTTTATTTTTAAAGATTTTATTTATTTATTTGACAGAGAGAGACACGGCAAGAGAGGGAAGACAAGCAGGGGTAGCAGGAGAGGGAGAAGCAGGCTTCCCGTCGAGCAGGGAGCCCAATGCGGGACTCGATCCCAGTACCCTGGGATCATGACCTGAGCTGAAGGCAGGTACTTAACAACAGAGCCACCCAGGCACCCCCTAAAGCTGATTTTAAAACTTATGTTTACAAGACTCAGTGGTTTAAGACATTCAGGGTAGTGAGCTCCAACGAATAAAGATTCAAAACTACTCAGAGATACGCCCACAAAGAGAGAGAGATGAGGACACCAAGTGTTCAAATTAAAAGAACTGAAAGTCATGGGCGATGTCCTTTTCCTTTCTTACCTCTCCAGTATTTGCCAAATGGTCTACAAAGCCCTAATAATGAATACACCAGGTACCTGCTCCAGTATAAACTTTCAGATGGCGTAATTTCGCTATCCAGTTATCCAAGGAAGCAGGAATCCAGCAAGACTCTCATTTTCATGTTCCAAATTTCACAGAAAAATCAGCCCTGCACTAAGGGCACACCATGGGTTTACCCCAACAAAACATCTGCTTCCATACAATTGCTCTAGAAAACGCACCACTCAATCTGAGATGGTGACGATGGGATACCAAATACAGAACCAGAGAGTCCCCAGGGCACGGGCAGCATCCCTAGGGGGAAAGCCTTTCACATCAGCACCGCCCCTACGGTCTGAGTGGGTGCTCACTGCCCGGGGTTCCTGCGTGCTAAGGGCAGTAGCCTCCCCAGGTACTCCCGGCACCAGGGGCAAGGGGTGAGGGGCCAGCAAGGGTCAGGACGCTTACGTACACACAGGAGCCTCGCTTTTGGAGAATCCAGTGGACTCACAACACAGTAGAATATACATTTACATGTCTTGATTTAATCGGACTTACGCTATTTCCTTGGTTCTTAAAAGGATTTTTCACATTTAATGTCTCTGAAACTGGGAAGTCATATCTAATTAGTTGTGTGTTAGTTTTTGTGGCATTTTTTTCTTTCTCAGACGAACCCAAAATAGAAGGGCTCCGTGGCCATCTTGCATTTAATGAAATAGGGTTGTTTAAAGAGTCAGTTAAAAGGTCCCTCCCGTGTCCTTCCCCTCAACCACTTTGGCAGCTGCTTCCGGTCTGTCGGCGGAACCAGTGCCCTGCCTGCATATTATTTTGAAAGAATATGCTCTACGCTCTGAATTTCCTGTATACAGATTGTACCCATCATCTGCAGACTTCTACTATGGCCAGCGAGGACGTAGACTGCTTCCGAATATCCTTCTCCCTCCTCCCTGCTCTCAGCAGACGTGTATCATAGTTTCGTTTTCTTCAAAATTAGTTTTCAGTGATTAGAGTGTACTACAAGATTTCCTTTTCTGTTAGATTTAGTTTGTCCTGGAGTTTGGATTTTTCTGTTTCTTGTCCTCAGTCCTCTGTGTTTCTATTGTAATTCTTCCTAACCGGACTCAACGGCTCTGAAACAAAGCCTGATAAAATTTTTATGTAATGATGTGCAAATAAGCTACTGGAATTATCCTCCCTCTGCCCTCCCGCCGCACTAGCTCCCTTCTGGAGGCCTCTCTCTCCCACTCTGCCGAGACTGGTTTGTTCTGAGGGCTGCTATGCAGTGTTACCCAAAGACTTCCCGTGACCACGATCCAAAGTCAGGTCCCCCTTGCTTCCTGGGCTCAGTCTCACCAGATTCTACTCACATTCTGATAGAACACATGTCCTAGTCGTTAGCTGAGAAGGGGGTCTATGGGAGGTAAATGTGATGGAAGCTGGGTGCTAGGTAAGCCCCTTCAATCAGGAAAGGTGTGTCCTTCAATATCCTGATTGCTATATTTCTTTGTATTTTTCATACTTGTATTGGAAATTTTCTTCTATTATGTTTTCACAAAAGTTTTCTCCTCTCTAAAGCTCTTTTTTCTTCAATGTTGGCTTCTTGGACTGATTATTTTAAGTTTCTTAGTTCTCTGCTCAGAATACTCATCTCTATCCACTGATTCTGCTTTCTGAGATAGTCTTAACTTTACCTTCTAGTTCTTTTGTTGAAGTCTTGACTTTAGCCCTCAATTTTCATTTTCAAGGGTTCTCTGTCTCTGAATGTTTCCCTCCATGGCATTCTGACCTCTGCGTGTGCTCAAATGCCCCATCTCAGTGGCTACTCAGATACTTTCCTCCTCTCTCTGTATTACGTTTCTTTCTAGCTCCCTTTCCTCCTCTTTATGTTGGTGTCTTTCTCTCTCTCTCTCTCTCTCTCTCTCTCTCTCTTTTTTTAAAGATTTTATTTATTTGAGAGAGAGAGAGAGCACAAGCAGCTGGGAAGGGCAGAGGGAAGAACAGACTCCCTGCTGCGCAGGGAGCCCAAGGAGGGACTCAATCCCAGGACCCTGGGATCATGACCTGAGCCAAAGGCAAGTGCTTAACTGACTGAGCCACCCAGGCGCCCCTATGTTGGTCTCTTGTCTTTTGTGATAGAGCTTTCCTCGAAAGCCAGATGACCCCTGCCTACCACCGGAAGCGAGGCTCTCTAGGCTGGCCTGGAACCTTCCAAGTTAGCATCACAGACTGAATATATGCATCCAATTATATAACCTCCCCAACCCACCAAGCCTACAGTTTGGATTCGGTTGTTTTTAAATATAAACCTATGGGAAGGAGGAGAAAGGGGGAAGACAGAGCAGCACTACAGGCTCCTGAAGCTGGAAAGCAGATGGGCCAGAGGCAACCTATGTAGCACATCCAAGGAAGCAGAACCCTAAGCTCCCATTGTTTCCAACCTAAAAGTTAACCTGACTCACACCGCAGGATCCTTAAAAAGCTAAAAAAATGTCTACACATCAAGTACTTCTGGCACGGGAGATAAGCAGTAGATGGTAGGAGGAGACGGTAGATGAGGACAGCCAGCCTGGGGAAGACAGGGTGAGAACTATTTGAGGGTCAGGGTCCCGAGATCCCCTCCCCACCTCTACAGTCCTGGGCAGCAGAAATCTGGGCTATCCTCTGAAGAGAGTAAAACAGATTTTCAGGACTGAGCTATTCCAGAAATAGTTGATGGCATTGAAGTGAGCCATGTCCATTCTGAATGCCAAGACCACTAACCTCTCTCACCACCAGGCTCTTCCCTCCAGCGGCAGCCAGATACATACACACACACACACAGACACACACACGCACACGGAAAGCTCAGAGGTGACAAGTCCCACCCTGTGGACAGCTCTTTGGTCTCCCTACCCAGACACCCGCAGATTACCAGATCTTTGCGGAAAACCTCAAAGACTTCAAAAGAACGACAGTGTACGGATTACACGGGGAACAAACAACTCCCAGATTCTTGAAGATGTGCGCATCCATGAAACCTAAGACAGGCAGCTATGAAGAGGAGCACTCAGAGACCCATGAAAGGTCTTAGATGCCCAGAACAAGGCACGAGGAAGGAAACTTACAAAAGGATTAGAAGCTAAAGATGAGGAAACCTTCAGAAAGAACAAAAGAGCAGAGAGAAAAAACAGGAGAGCAAAGAAAAGTAGAGGACACTCTAGGAGGCCCCGATCTACAAACGAGCAGCTGCAGAAAGACAGACATAACGGAAGGAAGGAAATTAAGCACGAGATAATTAGAGAAACTTTCCTAGAACCTGAAGGAAAGAGTTTCCAGATTAAAGAAGGAGAAAGGTTCTGACAAGGCAATGTCAGAACATGAGAAGAACACAGGAAGGGCTCTACCAGCTCCCACAGAGAAAAACACAGCCAACACGGCCAACACAGCCATGAGAAAGGAGAAGAGCCCGGGGTCACAGCAGCAGTGCTGGCAGCAAGACGGGATGTTTGAATAAAGCCTTCAGGCTGCAGGATGAGGGGCCCGGAAGTCTGTACCCAGCCACATGGCTGCTTCCTTTCTCTGAGAGCTGCTGGAAGGTACACTCCCCGAAGACAAGAGCAAACCCAGAAAAGAGGCAGGAGACACAGGGGATGGGAGGTCCTGCGCGAGGCACAGATCTCACAGGCGGGCAAACAGACATGTGGCGGGCCATCACCCTCGTCCCCGCACTGTCTTCTTAACGGGGGAACGCAGTGTGCAGGTGACCCCAGCCCGATACATCGTCTCTGCTCAGTCTGTCCTGAGTGAGCACTGATGAAGGCCCTGCTCTCCCTTCCCTGCCTGGATCCGCGGCGCAGACGGACCCTGCCCTGAGCTGCTCCTGGAAGCGGGTCACCGGGAGCCCAGAGGCAGCACAGGAGCAGTCGTCGTCCTCTGCCGCGTCTCAGCAGCACTTCCGGGAACCGGCCTCGCGGTGGGCCCTGCCAGATGCTCTGACTCGGGGGAGCACTGTGTCTCAGGTCTCCCCCATGTATGACCCGGCCCACTGACGCCCCCCGCCCGGGGCCCCTGCAAACTCTCAATGAAGGGAAGCCGGACGGGGACTCGAACACCAGAGTCCGCCCGCCTCCAGGAACCCTCACCTGATAGCGACAGGACCGCCCCTTTCCTTAGCCTGGCTCGGCTCCCCAGTCACTCTCCAAAAGCACAACAACACACCGGGTAAAAGAAAGAACGATTAACGTAAAAGCAAGACCGGCGTTTCTCTGAAGTGGGGCAGGGGACAGGGGGAACGATGGGGGCAAGAACAGGGAGAAACTGGCTGAGGGCTGTGGGTGCAGGGACTCCCACGACCTTGCTGCACTTTACGGGCACAGCACGTATACCTGTCCCCGTGCCCGTCTCTCTCACACGAAGCTGTTTCGCGCCAACTGCGGCTCCGTGTGGCAGAGGGAGGGCTTGTGAGGTGAGATCAGGCAGTGAACCAGCTTTTTCAGTGGGAGATCCCCAAATGTCAGTTATCTATGGACTGGCTTCCCCAAAAAGCATTCCATCTTCTGCCAGCGGGAGCATCTGCCTGGCTGCCAGCCGGAGAACGGGGAGGAGGGAGCTGGGCCTCTCGGCGCTCCGTGCAGGGAACTTCACTCCCCGCTCAGCTCTGCCCGCCCCACGCCGGCATCCTCCTCCTCGAGCATCCTTGAATGGGAAGTCTCTGGGAAGTCTCGCAGCTGCTCTTCCCCCGGGGAATAAACCTGGAGACTTCTCGGGGTCCCTGGAGGGTGCCTGGCTACCTGCATGGGCGGCTCTCCCCTCGACACCCGCGCTTCCCACACGCCACTTGTTTCCAGCTACACGCGGCTCGGCCTTCCTCGCAGTCACGGCTACCACCGAGCCCACAGCCTTCCGGGGGCTCCGCGGGCCACGTGTCTGCCCTGTAACCGCCTCCGCTCCCTGGCAGGAGCTGTTAATTCTGTACGCGTGAGGAGTGTGTTTCCGACAAGTACGAAGTTCGAGCAGCACGAGTCCGTCAGAACAGTGACTCTCTACGTAGAAGAACCTGTGTTCCCAAATAACCCCACAGTAGGGACATCGCCTTGATCACATGACTACTCTGTCAAGAGACACTGTGAAATTCTGAGTTGCCAGCCTCATTTCTATACCTTCGAGGGTCCAGTTCGTGGTCCTTGGATCCAGTCACTAATTCCGGGTGAATTCGCACGTGCTCCATCATTGGCTAGAAGAGTAGGGGTTGACAAATTATAAAAGGCTAAATTTCTGTGGCATCTCCCCACAACAGAGTATTAGTTGACAATAAAAAGGAGTCCTGACACCTGCTACAGCACAATGACCCCTGAAACATTCTGCCAAGTGAATGAAATCAGTCCCAGAAGACCACGTACTACGTGATCCCCCATCTGGGAAACGCTCGTCAGGGAGGCAAGTCTACAGAGGCAGAAAGGAGATCAGCGGTTGCCTAGGGCTGGGGCTGGGGGCAGAGACGAACTACTTTTCAAAATCTGTCCCCTACTGAATGCACAGGTCCCAGCCGCAGAGCGTGCGCACAGCACGCGGCTCTCCAATGAGCAGCCATCACTCACCCTGACCACTTCTTCGAAAGTGTCCAAGTTCTCCTTCATACTGTAGTGAGAGCGTAGAAAGGAGACAAAGTTGCAGGGGTACATTCCATAGAGGCGATGAAAGAGAGCATAAACACTGGCGTGGAGATGGACAAGATAGATCTCTGTCACGTGGCCTGAAAGAGGAAATCACGGACAGGAGACTCAGCCAGACACAAGCAAAGGTGAGCACGCGGCCACCAGCACGACGGGCGGTTGGTTGCCCACACCTCGCTCTGCAGATAACGAAGAATGTTTCTCTAAAATGCAAATCTGAACACACCAAACGCCCCTATTTAAAATCTATCAGGGGCTCCCTACGGCCTTTGGATAAATGCCGATCTACTTAGAATGACCCATAAAGCCTCTGACAGATGTAAAGCTCCTCTCCGGTCTTCCCCCAACCCTCTCACAATGCTGACCTAACTTTCTCATGATAATCACTCGCCCTAAAATCTGTTCTTGTTGTTTTTTATTATTATTATTTTAAGTAAACTCTATGCCACACACGGGGCTCAAACTCATGACCCTGAGGTCAAGGGTCTCTACCCTACAGTTGGGACTCAACCAACTGAGTCAGCCAGGGCCCCCCCCCCCCACCAGTCTGTAACAATACTTCTCCACTCGTATTCAGCATGAATTTCTTGAGCTTCTTGAACAGCCCTGTCTTACTCACCTCTGCACCCTTAGTGCCTAGCACAGTGCTTGGTGCAGGACGAGCATTCAAACATTTGCAGAACATATGAGAGAGATCCTTTTGAAATCAGGCTGTAGTCTTAGCTCTGCAGATTTGTAACTAAGGAGTGAAAAAACTGTTATCCAGAAACTAGCTTAAGGCGCTGAGAGTGGGAGAAACCCAACACTTTGTCCATCGCGCCTCACCCGGACCCCACGGAGAAGCCCGAGTCCACAGGATCCGCACGGCTCTTCCACAATAATGCACAGACCACTCCTCTGCCCCCAAGAGCGTCCTCAGTAACCAGCATCACCTGGGTCTTGCACTTATTATTTAATCCCGTACAGGAAGCCACAGATGTGGTGTGACATGACTTACACTTCATCTTTCCGACATGAACAGCTCGTGCTGGGCTTACCGAAAGATTCCAAGTATCACGTGCTTATAGCTGTGGAATCATCTGACAGAGCCTGACTCCCTGCCAGGACGGGGGAAAATCCCACCACGTTCAAAACAAGGACACCGATCAGGACCCACCACATCTTCCCTCCTTCACATGCAAGAGACAGGTTTCTCAGAACCCAAGGTTTGTCTTCTGTCACAACAGACCAGCAGAGTAAGACCAAAAAGGTGCCACAAGCCTAGTCTTGTGCTGCTGTGACCCGGACTGAAGGTATTTTGAGAGATGGAAGTTTACCAACAATTAGAAGGCTTTACATCCTACCAGTTTCTCTGACAACTAATGCTCTTAAGCCGACAGAATGAGGAAGGTGTCCAACAGCCAGACTTCTTTGTGCCTACGGTGAGCAGGCACACGCCCAAGGTACTCCTCAGCCACTGGTGACCACCACCCACTCCAGCCACGAAATTCTACACGCCTTCCTTTACAGCTCATGACCTGTCGATCACGAGCGAAAGCATTCACTTGGCAGGGAACGACAGGTACGGAAGGACATCTTTACCTGGTTTCTTCAGGCACCACGACGAAAGACGGCCGAAAATATCAAAGAAATCATGAAGGTGCTGCTTCCCCGACTGTGGAATCATGGGCAGCATGGTGATCAGCACTAAGACACCTGTTGTGAGGACGATGACATCGGTATCCATCTGCAGAAGGAAAGGTCAGGCAGGGAGAGATGTCTGTCAGGCACAGCATCGGGATCAGCACACCAAGGTGCTGCTCTAAATTCCACAGGGGTCACAAATTATAGGTCCCCTCACAGACTCATGTCCCTACCCCTCATGTCTTAGGGGGAATGACATGGATCAGATTCGACTGTAATGAGTCTGCCAAGATCACTTCTGCTGCCCCCACACACACCTATTTGGGAGACAAACTTCACCTTGACCTGGGGACGCCCAAGTCCTCCAGCCGGGGGACACTCTGCCTATAGCACATGGACGGAAGCATGACGAGCTGCCTTCACCAGAACAAAGGAACACGACAGTTTCCGTTCATGCAACCAAATCTTCAAATACTTACTTACTTACTTTTTGTTAATCCTTTTAAAAAACACTACACAAGTAATGTAATATAGTATTTTTAAAGGATGACAACAGAAGTATAATTTAAGAAGAAATTAGCATAGCGCTAACAAGTCTCCTTAATTGCTCACCTTTATAGCAGCATTTACAGATCAGCAAATAAAAGAAGATACAGTGACCTCTGACCGTGTCTATAGTTTAAATATCAAGTCATATAACTTCAAGCTAATTGAAGATATTTAATACCCAACGGATAATGAATCAACTCGGCATAGCTACAGCGGCTCACCTGACCCATAATTAAATCATGAATGTTGGCCAAGTAACTGGAATTCAGATTTAAGATACAAAATATTAATCGGAAGATTACCATGCAGGCTAAGACTTCATTATTACTGTTAAAAAAGAAAAGGAAATCTAAGAGTCTGGAAATAAAGCCTTAAGTAGATTTCATTTTACGTTAAGCACTACGCCTTTTGTCACAGCCAACACCTGTCTAGGAAGAAGAACATAAAATACTGGTAGGAGAATCAAGAACACATAACCAGTTCCAGTACAAAACACTAACCCTAATTTGCTTATGGTAATACTCTAACGGATGGCTTGGGTAGCAGCCCACGAGGGGCTGCCGAAGCTTACCCTTTTGAAAAAGGGAAGTGTTCTACAAGCTGAACTGAACTGTGCGGCCTCAAGATGGAGTTATATTCTCACCAATCCACTCACTTAAAAAAAAAAGTTAAGTTGTTCCAATTTTTCTTGTTTTTTGTCAACATTCAGTCCCATGTTTTTAGGAAGCCCTAGCAACGTTACTCCCACCTCCGGGGGGAATGACACGGCGACCCCACTGCAGAGAGCAAAAATCAGTTTGCAGGGTGCTCTACCACACGACCCAAAGGTGCTGCCCACCGAGAACAAACACTACTGCATATTTTCATGTCTCTGTGAGGTAGAGGCAGTGAGTATTAGCCACATTGTCTCAGTCTATAGCTAGGAAACGAGTCTGGGAATTACAAGAGATTTAGCTAATAGCCTGGAGTATTTCAGCAAGGCACCGTCAAAACTAAAAACTCCAAAGTTCTATTCAGGTTTTGACTCGCTGTGTAGAAAAATACACTACATTTAGTGCGAAAGGCAGACTGCGACCCCGGAGGCCTTGCATTAACAAAACCTTAATTATGGCCGCAACCAGCACCTGCTCCTAAATGGTTAAATAGAGCGGGCAGCCACTTTTCCCCGAGCTAAAAGAGAATCCAGGCTTCCCCCAAAGAGAAACCAGATGTTTTAACGGAGGGAAGACGGGACGACGAGAGAGTCAAAGATGGTGGGAATAAGGTCACGTTGAACCGTATCTGCTTTGACAAAAGGCGCTCACCATCACCAGGGCGCGCGGAGAACGGACCGAGCCCCACCTCTAGACGATGTGCCAGTCGAGGAAAGCCAAACGCTGATTCTAAACTCTCAAAGTTCAAATCTAGCTCACTCGCTTTCAAGTTCCCCAGAGTTTCAGAAACGATACTCATAAAGGCATTTCGTTCAAACCCTTGCAAACATCGTACCTTGAGACATTTGAGTAAAGAAGGCAAAAGAGGTGCTTGGGAGAGTTTGTGCTTCCACGGTGGCTGCAGCCTGATGACGTGCCCCAACAGAGACAACGCGGGCAGCCGAGAGGCGGCTCTGCCCATGCACTCGTTCATTTTGTCCAAGAGGTGCTAAACATGTAAAAGAACAGGAGAAAGAGGTCTCAGTAAGGCTGGGGTGGGGGTGGGAAGAAATCTAGGGAAATGAGGGAAATCCTCATGCGAACGCAGTAGGGGACACCGACAGAGGTAGCTGTGACGTATGCCAGTCCCTTGAGTTGCCACGGATGGGAAGCAAAGGCCACAAAAGATCTTTAAAAATCACAGTGGCACACCAAACACCGCTAAGTTTTGCCAGAGAGAGGGCAGCAAGCTGGCAAGTCCTGAAAAAGATCCCATGACACACATGTGCAAGCTGGGGGGCGCCAGACTCCCTCACTCCTTATTAAAGTACAAATAAGCTACTTCTTCCAATGAGCGCTAGCCCCAAGCCTGTGGCAGGTTGGTGACGCTGTGAGGGGATCCAGCTGGAAACAGTTGCTTATGGTACCATAGCCCTATCTACATGGTTTGGCCCCAAATATAAACTGGGTAGTCTAGAAATTAAAATTCAACAGAACAAAATATACTGGAAAAGCACACAACGGCAGGGTCTTCAAATCCTGGTGAAGCCACTAGCATATAGAAACTCAACACGTGGGGCTCCTGGGTGGCTCAGTTGTTGGGCAACTGCCTTTGGCTCAGATCATGATCCCAGGGTCCTGGGATCAAATCCTGCATCGGGCTCCCTGCTCGGCGGGGCATCTGCTTCTCCCTCTCCCACTCCCCCTGCTTGTGTTCCCTCAATAACTCTCTCTCTCAAATAAAGAAATCTTCCAAAAAAAAAAAAAAAAAGAAAGAAACTCAACCCTTCACCGAAATGTGCAACAGCAATGCTTTGTGAGCTATTTTCCACCAACAAAAATAAACACTAAGGAGCCCTGCACGAGCCTGGTGCTGGTCAACAGGACTCCACAATTAGGCCCATTAGCTGTCTGGACCCACAGATTTTCCCACACAGATTAAGTCCAAAATCCTACTCAAAGCATGGTTTTAAAGATGGGCACCTTACGGGTCAAGCTGTCACTGTACAATGACAGGAATGGAATTATAGGATTTCTTGGAATAGCAAGAGCTTAAAACACCTCTGGAATACGTTTTATTCGTAAACTTCTCAGGACACATGGGTTCTGCCAATTATTTTTCTCTGCAGTTGCAATCTGGGAACAGGATCGTCTGTGGCACGGAGAGGCGGAAGGAGCACGCTCTCGACAGAATGCACGGGCCGGGGGGTGCACACAGAAGCCGTCGCACGGGCCAGGGCCGGACTGAGCAGCCCAGCCCTGATGTCCAGCGGTTACCTTGTCGTGAGGCTCTTGCAAGGTAGTCAGGATGTGCAATACCGGCTGAGAATTCGTTTCCAGGTAATAATCCACCAGGGTGTTGACGAGCATCGGACCACGGTCTGAACAGAGGAAAAGGGAAGAGTTATTTCCTTTAATATCCTCAACTCACCTCAAATGGCTGTCGGTCACGAAATCCAGAAAGTGTTTCTCAATGCTGCCCAAAGTTACGTGACATTCTATTTCTAGCCGTCCATCCACTGAGGTTTAACAATAGGATGATACCAGATTAACCCTCCTGAACATCCACAAAAGCACTGAAATGCTGTCTTCTCTTACTGATTGCCGTCTTTGATTATAAGACGGTAACCATGTCCGCGGATAAGGGTTCAGATGATGTGAAAGTACAGAAGACGAAAGTCCTCGCTACCGGCCTCTCTCAACCCACTCCTCAGAGACCAACATCCCTGAGACTGGTCCACGGGCTTTCCAGCCTTTTCCCGGAGAACCACACACGTGCACATGCGCACACAGAGCCCCCACGCCCACGAACACACAGGCTGAGCGCATGTCTTCTTCCGCTTAACAACATGCTGCAGACACTTCCCGTGTGGGCCCCTCTGACCTTCTTCAGTGTCCCCGTGGACCTGGGGCCTACAAGGCTCTGCTCGGCTGCTCGGCTCTACAAGACTCACTGAACCAGTCACTTACTGGTTTTCTCTAAACTTCACTCAAGGCTATAATGAAACACAGACTCTTGTCAGTGGGACACACGGTACATGCTTTTTAATGAATGGTGGGTACTCCAAAAAGGCTGAATACTGAGTTAGTCTCCTGCCAACAGCACCCATTTCTGTAATCAATAGTGGGTTTTTGTCAACCCCGTAAGCAAAGAAAGGTACTGTCAAAATTCCTGTCTCCCTGATTAAAGAGAGGTCACACATTTTACACCAGAAATCGCATACGTGATTTCCGCAGGGCATTTGCTTGAAAACACTTGGGTGGGGGAGCAAGGAAGGTGAGATGACACAAGAAGGCAGTGACTTTGAAGCTGGGCTATGGGTTCATTATGTGATTCTTACTTAATAAGTCTGTGTGTCTATTTGAATATTTCCATAATCAAAAGCTTAAAGCACACAGAGAGTGAACCCGGCAATAGCTGCTCTTTTCTCAGTGTTTTAGAAACTCTCCATAGAAGATGAAAACCAACATCAGGAGACTGTAGTCACCCCCGGGTCAGTCTCTTCTGATGCGCAGACGGGCGCGAACGGGCATGGCCCCGCTTACCAGAGCTGAGGTTCTCTTTAAAGACAGCTGTCACGTCATCGCGCACACTCAGCAAGGGGGAGTCCAGCATGGACAGGAGCTCCCCGATATTCGCTTGCTGGGCCATTGTCTTACACGACTGCGCCGCGCCGGGTCCGGGACGTGCACTAGCGACTCTGCGGGCTCTTCATTGGCGCCCCTACCAGACTGAGAAAAAGGAAGACACACAGTGGGACAAAATGGCCCCATTTCTCCCCAAAAAAAATTGCCTGCAAGACAAACCAGGGCATGAGTTCAATGCAGCGAAAAGCCTGTCGTCCAGAATTCTGCTGAGGAAAGAAGCCAGGGTGTGAGCATAATTCTACATCGGACACACTTGCGAAGAGGATATCTATGGAATGCACCCATTGGAGAGAGACGGGGACACCACCACCAGTCAGAACCGTCGCGGCAACCTAATGCCAGGACCACAGCACAGTTTTTTACTTTGATTCCTTCTTCTGACTCTGCCTTGGGTTTTGGCTAAGACTGTGTTTCCATCTCAAATCATCAGTCTAAAAACTAGAAGAGGGCACGTGGGTGGCTCAGTGGTAAACTGTCTTCAGCTCAGGTCACGATCCCAGGGGTCCTGGGACCAAGTCCTGCCTGGGGCTCCCTGCTCAGTGGGGAGTCTGCCTCTCCCTCTGCCTGCTGCTCCCCCTGCTTGTGCTCTTAATCTCTCTGTCAAATAAATGAATCTTTCAAAAAATAATCTTTCAAAAAATAAATAAATAAAAAGTAGATGAGCTATTTTCAGAGAAAGAACTAAAAACATACTATTTTCCTCTTGACACTCCCATCAATGCCTGGAAGCTGGTCGAGCTTGTTAGGTCACAAGACCTTACATCCGATACCTCATTTGAACCGGGGACCACATCTCGGCATTTCACACAAACTCCTCACCCCAGACATCAGTCACATTCAAATGCCACTGGTCACAGACAAGAGGCACAAAACGGGGCACAAGGGTAAACCTGTCCCATTCAAAGACTCCATTCCTGCTGGTGGTGGAGTCGCTGACTGATCTTTATACAAAAAAAGCAGCTCATTCTCCAATTGTCACTATCCATATTTACAATTATTTCTTTCTCTAAAGGTCTATTTTCAAAAACAAGCACAACCAAAGATCATTAAGAGATAGACCTGCACATCCTTCACAAACATCAGTGAATCCAGTCCTTACACCAGTATCACGGGGCTGGTTCTTTGGTCCCCACTTTATGGGGCGAGAAAGAGAAACGAAGCCATCTGCCGGGGGTTGCAAAGCTAGCAAGAGGCAGAACCAGAGAACTGAGATTTGAACCTAGATCTGCTCGACTGCAAAGCCCTGAGCCCTTCGACATCAAGCAAACTCGTGGTTTTGATCCTTGAAGCCATTCCGTGAGGTAAGCAGATAACCTCTTCTACAAATGACAATATGGAGAGTCGGAAAGGATAAATAACTTTGCCAAGGTCACCTGGTAAAGCAGCACTCAGATGGCTCAACTCCCAGGCCCAGGGCTGCGTCCGTCCTTGGTGGCCATGTTGCTTCCTCCGCGCTGCTCAGAGGGGCTGGGGTAGCAGCCCTCCAGCTCCAGGCTGGGCCCAGACCACCTGGGGTGCCTCTTAGAAATGCAGCGTCCCGGCCCATTCCAAACTGACCTTGGGGCTTAGGAACCTGCATTTTAACAAGCACCTAGGGAGGAAACATGCTAAAGAAAAAGCCCACTGAAGAGTTAAGCGCGTCCTGCAAGAGTGCCAAATTTAAGCACCAATGGCCCCAGAAACTGGTGAGTATTAACTCTTATCTATGCTCTTGTTTAATTACAACCCCCTGCAACAGCCACTGATTTTGCTGTCCGTGAATCTACATGCATTTCTGATAGCTAATCATGGCGTAAGAAGTTGCGGGCTCACACCTATGAATATAAATCTTACAGGTAAATCACGAAGGGCGTCCATTTCAAAGGACTTACAACTGGCAAGATTTTCTTATAAGAGTTCAGAGCTGAAAATAGACAGAAATTTCACCTTGTGAGTTGGATTAAATTAATTTTACGAGTGAAGAAAATACCAACCTGTCAGGATTTATTGTCCACGGAGAGAATTAAATGAGAGAACATACGCATACACTCAGCGCAAACAAAGACTCCGAGCAGGGCCCATAAAGTATCAGAAAGAAAACCAGTAAAATCTTGGGGCCACCGCTTTCAAGATGACTTTTTCACAGCATACTCATCTGGCTAGCCCTCACATTCCTTTCTTCTTCGGATAAATCACAAATGATTCTCAGGTTTAAAAGCATTTTCGTCCCTAAGTTTGGTTTTTGTTCCGGTAAAACTGCTACCTACCTAGTCTCAGTCTAGCGAGACTCTGAGTTTCTAGTTTGTGTATTCAGAAGGCAGTAACGTCGGAGCTGGTCCCCAAATCCAGGCAGCCCAGAACACGGGACAGGAGTTCTGTTCCAAACAAAGATGGCGCCATCCAGTCAACTGGACGGCCGCAGTCAGGGCTGCCCAGCTTGGGCCAGTGCGCTCGCTTGTCAGTTCGTAAATGTCATTTGAGGTGTCAAAGTCCGGCTTCTGGAGCCTGTTCCTTCCAGACACTTTACAGAAAGCAAAAATAAGGTTCCATCCTAAACCACATTGGTACATTTCTGGCAACAAGCTTTTCTCTTTGGTTCTAAAATTCTACCTTTCAACCACACTTTTTAATCCTCCCCAAAAATATAAATCTTGGGTTTCAGGTGAGGTTCCTCATGTAAGTGCCCCAAAGTTTAAGGATTCTGACATTCAAAGAGGTCCTCCCCAAGAGTTTAATCATGAGCTTTTAGAATCATTCCCATGAATGGAGTGTCTCTTCTTTTAAAACTCATTCAAGTATTTCTCGAGGGCTCCGTGCAGGGTGCTGAGAGGGAAGAGCGACTCAGCACGCACAATGGAGACCAGACGTGGGAGGAGGAAGGGGGCAGGGCTCAGGGGGTGCATTGAGGGGAGAGGGGGCCTGCTCAACCGGCACGTGGGGCTGGCGGGTGAGGCACACCCATGTTAGACACACCTTTCAGCCTGGGGAAGGTCGGCTGGGAAAAGTCACGTGAACGTGGAGACCACAGGCACGTGCAGCATCGACTTAAAGCTGCGAAAGCCTCTCTTCCATTCTGGAATAACCACGTACAGAACACAGGAGGCAAGAGAGGCCAAAAGTCAATACCCAGGTTAGTCCAGCTCCATACCGTACGTGCCAAAGCAGCATTCCTCTAGGTGAGCGTCGTCTTCAGTGGTCACATGTCACACGACAGTCTACAGATGACATCACTCGCATAGGGAGCCGTGACTTTCAACAGCCACTCCCACCCCAAAACCTGTCACTCTGCAGGTCTCCCGGATCTCAGGAAAACATACATCCATCAGTCTAAAGGAAACACTGCGGCGACATCCTCGACTTCCCAGCTCTCACCCTCTCCTCTGACCTGTCAGCAAACCCCCTGGTTTTGCTATCCCCTTCGTTGTGGGCCCAGTCCAAGCCCCAATACCTCCCATCCTGCTCCCCTACGATGTATCTGCCACCAAAACAGCACAAACACTGAAATATGGACATCAGAATCCATCCCTCTCCTGTTGAGAATCGTGCAATGGCTTTCCATGGAGGCACTAAGAGCCAAACCCCGTGAGTGGCCTAAAGGCTCCATGTGCTCTGAGCAGCTGTGAACGCCCCAGCCTCCGTCTGCTTCCTTCTGCGCCGCTCTGCCCCATCATCTCTCTGTGCTAGTCCCAGTGTCCCAAAAGCCAGGAAAACTGGTTCCTGCTCGAGGCCTCTGCCCTGGCACCTCTATCCCTGGAATGCCCTCTCCCAGATCCTTGCATGGCTGACTGTCTTTGCGGTCTCTGCTCAAAACATCACCGTCTCTCAGGTCTCTCCTGACCAACCAACCGAAAGCAACAGGGGCATGGATAGTGACCACCTTTGAACAAACCAAGTTTAAACTTTACAGCTGGTCATCAGATTCAACGGACCAGAATACTCAGTACGATCACAGCATGTGGGGAAAATAGGGATTCACCCAAGTTTGACTTGAGTCCCTACATCTGGCCAACAACTGGCTTTGGTCTTTAGAATGTCTGAAACTTGAACCGTCAACTGCCTGCTTCAGCAGCATTTCTAGCGTCCCTGAGTGTGTGTGATCAACAACGACACGTCGTTACCATGGTACCAAAACCGCGCAATGTCCGCAAGGTGCACAAGGCATGCGTTCAGAATTACTGTTAAGCATCCGAATGTTCACTTTTGAATAAAGGTAAACCGCTCTGGCTGTAACATCCAAGTTTTGTGTTTTATAAGTTGAAATTCTGTCAGTTTAAGTACAAATGCATACTGATGAAAAAAAATAAAAGCTCTTTTAGTTGATCAATGTGACTTTTTTGTTCAAAAACAATCCAGAACTTTCAAATGACTAAATATGTTAACTAGCAATACGAATATTAAAAATACCTTTACAAATAAGAGTAATCACTCTTTGTGCCAAATATCTATAAAAATTTTAATGACAGATGGTTAAGAGAAAATTATATTTTAATTCTAAATTTTATAGAATTATCTTGCAGCATTTATTACAAACAAAATAACCTTTTAAAACTGCATTTAACTTATAGTCTTAATTAGTCTTTCAAGAAAAAGTCATATTTGGAATATTTCCCATCTCATGAGGATGAATAAAAAATAAAATGTCAATTTTATGACATGAAAAAACCCAAAATCACAGTCAGCAACATCCACGATAAATCATCTTCGAGCCAAGCGTAAAGAATATAAAGAAAACAATGTTAGTAAAAAACTGAAATCCTCCAAACACATTTTGCAGTCACTAATCAAATTTCTAAACAGACCTTACAAAAATGCCTTAGGAAGACAAGATCTTGTAGTTTTCTGTCTGTGAAGGCTAAGAATATAAACAAAAAGCTTATCAGGGACGCCTGGGTGGCTCAGTTGGTTAAGCAGCTGCCTTCGGCTCAGGTCATGATCCCAGCATCCTGGGATCGAGTCCCACATCGGGCTCCTTGCTCGTCAGGGAGCCTGCTTCTCCCTCTGCCTCTGCCTGCCATTCTGTCTGCCTGTGCTCACTCTCTCTCCCTCTCTCTCTCTCTGACAAATAAATAAATAAAATCTTTAAAAAAAAAAAAAAAAAAAAAAAAAAAGCTTATAAACATGATGGCCACAGGCTGTCAACAATTATTAGCAGCTCGGGGCGCCTGGGTGGCTCAGTGGGTTAAAGCCTCTGCCTTCGGCTCAGGTCATGATCCCAGGGTCCTGGGATCGAGTCCCGCATCGGGCTCTCTGCTCCGCGGGGAGCCTGCTTCCTCCTCTCTCTCTCTGCCTACTTGTGATCTCTGTCTGTCAAATAAATAAAATATTTAAAAAAAAAATTACTAGCAGCTAAAGACGAAGGATCCATGAGGCTGACCCAACCTCTGAATCCCAGATACAGGTTCCCTCTAGAAAACAACCTGCCAGAAACTTCCCTGAATTACACCCCGCTCTGTCCATGAAGGCTAGCGACGGGACCGCGCGCAGCAGCTGGAGATGAGCGTCCGCTCAGCATCACACGTGACACGGTGACCACAGGAGCAATCTGGCTGCGAGTCCTAACAAAGTCACTTGCCTACAGTAAAACTCCGAACTTTACAAGTCTAGCTACTGAAATGTCACCCAGTCGCAGTACTGAAAAATGTGGAGTAAATCTGAGGTTTACGATGTGTGTTACTCAGCTGGGGCTCAATGACAGGAACACAACCACTTAACGCTGGGTTCAAGTCCACATTCCGCGGACCTCCAGAGAAGGGACAGTGGAAGTACACACAGAAATGCTGGAAATGAAAAGTCACACTGAGAAAGCTCTGCCTCCTTGTGCGAGAACGCTGCTCGGCCTTCATATCCACAAAAGCCTCGTTATTTATGAAGGATATAGGCTGGGACCCTGAGAATCCTCCAGTCCCTAGAAACTGTCACAGCGTTATCATTCATCCCAAACGCTAATGAGGACAATTAATAAACAAAACCAGGTGAAGGCGTAAATGCGAATTCCCAGCTCCGGGCTCCTCAGCCCAGGATGTCCGTAAGAACCGCATTTACGGAACCCCGAAGCACAGGCCCCGCTCCAGAGCAGGTTAAGGGGTGCGGTCGAGAGAGCACAGGTGGAATTTGCACAGAAATCCAGGGGGATCTGCACAGCCGGGGCTGAGCGCCTCTGCACTAGGCAAATGATTTGCTCCAACACAAAGTCTTCGATTTCGTTTAGGGTGAAAACCAAAGCTCACTGCTGGACGGAACTGGTCTGAGTCACAGGTCCGCCAAGGGCAGCTACACCACCTTGGGAAACTCAGCCAACATCTCAGCCCCATCCCTCATCTGTAAAATGGGGCTACACCACAAGTGTCGCTGTGAAAAAGAAAATGAGTAACACATGCAAGGAAAGCGCTCAACAGTGTCTGCCACTGAACGAGCACTTAATAAACCCTGGGTCATTTGACAAAGTACTTCATGCCACGGAAGGACCAGTTCCTAGCAAGTAGCTAAAACCAGAACTGTTAAATCCTGAGTGCAAACACACACACACACACACCCCTGCACAACTGTACAGGCGAGCAATTCCCTTCTATCCTCTCCCACCACTGCACCGAGTTTATACCTTACCTGTTCTGGGGACAATCGGTGCTTCGGTTTCCAGCGCTGTCAACCTGGTGTCTTTCATGGTCACTGAAGGGAAAAAACACATGTAATGTACACAATAATCTTACAATGAAGTGAAATCCCAGAGGCACCCCAAGGGAGTTTAGGGTTCACCTGGCTCGACCTCCTTCCTGCTGCAGCCCTGACAGGTGGCCGGCCAGTTTCTACCGGAATGCACACTTACAACAGTGGGCGCACGTGCCTCTCTCTGTCTACATTTCTGAACAGCTGGTTGCTGGAAAATTCTTTATATTGTGCTGAACTTGTAATCTCTGCCTTTTGTTAGCTGTTTACTGGAGCTATAAACAAATGGGCAGGATGGGCTCTCGAGTCCTAGAGTTCCAAGGTACAATCCCAGCTCTGCCACGTATTAGCTAGGCCACTTCTGGCAGTTTCCCTCAGGTGCCTAACGTCTGACCTTGTTACTTCATCTGGAAAGCGAGAAGAATAGCGGCCTCTACCTCAGAAGGCCATGTGGGGTTACACAAGACGATGCCTCCGGGAGCCCTGGCATAGCACGGGGCACGGAGTCATCACCCAAGCGGCCCCGAGCGCAGGAACAGTGCCCGGTGCAAAGCACTTAGTGGGCTTCCCTCTGGTCGCCACCCCCATGCTCCCCTCCCTCCCTACAGCCCCGCCCCTCTCGCCTACCCACTCCCAAGCTAAGCGTTCACCCCTACAATCTCAGCTTAAACATTTGCTCCATCGTGCCTGGGTGGCTCAGTCGGCTGAGCATGCGACTCTAGGCTTCGGCTCAGGCCGCGATCTCAGGGTCGTGAGATCGAGCCCCAAGTAAGGCTCCGTGCTCAGGGGTTGTCTGCTGGAGACTGTCTCCCTCTGCTCTTCCTCCCACTCACACGTGGGCGGGCACATACACTCTCTCATTGTCTCTCAAATAAATATATCTTTAAAAATATATATTTTTTGCCCCATCAGAGAAGGCTTTACTTCCCTCCACTCCCATGCCCCAGACTAGGTCAGGTCCCCTGTCTTATTTGCTTAGCAGCCTATACTTCTTTGTGTCACTTACCACAAGCCAATTAAATAAGCATAATTAGTTACTGAACATGTCTCCCTCACTGGAACAGCAGCTACGCCCGGGGAGAGAGAGCAGCTCAGTCAGTGCGGCAGATCTAGCAGCCGCCACGGTGTCTGACTGCACGGAAGCCGTTACAGTAGTTCTTAAGTAAACGTATGAGGCTGAATCCTGGCCTTCAAAACAGCACGACCTTCATCTGATCCCTCCACAGGACAAGCACAAAATATTTATGGACAGCTATCATTTCTCTCCCCTCTTCCTCTCTTTACCGTATTTCCTGTCTAAATGATCTCCTATTAATTAAGCATGTTATATACATCTCTACAAATACGTTCCAATTCGCCTTTAAAATGTGAGCCATTCAGGCTATTTTTAGGGACGGTCTGGCCACGAGATGGTAAGTTCCACGAGGACAGGAACCATCTGTTTGGTCCCCCAGTGGACACCCCAGGCCTACTGCAGCATGTGGCACTCGAGAGGCAAAGACATGGCTCGTGGTCCAGCAAAGGTTTCAGCAAGGTCTCTGGTCGCCGATCCAGGGTGGGAGGCAGAGGACGGAAGCTGAGCCTCGGCCGCTGCGTCAGTCCAGCGAGTGAGCACGGGCAAGCCTGCCGACAAGCCCTTCACTACACTACGATGCTCGAAGCCCAGCTCGAGGACGGAACAACTCTCTCACTGTCAAAATCTCGTGCCCCAGACGACAGGTAATCACATCTCCCTGGGGAGCACACTCTGGGCATTAAACAGCATCGGGTCTTGGCGGCATACTCCAACTTTCCGTCCGCTGCTGGGAGGCAAAGGGCCAGCCGGACCATTCAGACAGGGAGTGCCTGCCTCGCCAGTCAGTCAAACAAAGAACGAGAGGCGCCTGGGCGGCTCCGTGGGCTGAGCCTCTGCCTTCGGCTTGGGTCATGGTCCCGGGGTCCTGGGATCGAGCCCCACAGCATCAGGCTCTCTGCTCAGCGGGGAGCCTGCTTCCTCCTCTCTCTCTCTGCCTGCCTCTCTGCCTACTTGTGATCTCTATCAAATAAATAAATAAAATCTTAAAAAAAAAAAAAAGAAGAAGAAGAAGAAAGAAAAGAGAAGAACTAGAATTACAACACAGATGCCTCTGTTATCCAGGACCTCAACATCAGCTGTCGGTCCAACAGGTCACACAGTCTTTCTGCTACAATTCATCCTAGTTGGGTTTTTTACCTGAAAAGGAACATCCAAGGCAAGGCTAACGCTGGGACATACGCGAGAGGAGCTCTTGCAGCCGCCCAGCCAAGACCGCTGTGCTAGACAAAGGGACTGGCCCAGGAAATCAGAACTTTTGTTGTCCAATGCTCAACATTAAGACTTCTTAAATTCTTTATCGCTAGGCCAAAAAATGGTTAATGGTAATAAACTGTCATCAGTCTAAGGCTGGCTTGTCAAAGGCTACTTGCATTATTTATATTTTTAATTATTTATTTACTTATTCATTTATATTTAGATCCTGCCCTATGGAGTACTACTAGCTAAAATCACTCTGGTCAGTCAAGTGAGATATGACCTTGAACTTCTGACAGGAAGCGAGGAATGAAGAAGGCCCTCCTCCAGGATGTGTGCCCCTAAGGGGCGTGGCAGAGAGCACCTATCACAGCCTAACAGGATCACGCCACACTCTTTTCTTTAAGAGCCAAATTAAAGAAGAAACATACCCCCCAGATCTAGATTTTTCCTCTTTCATATCTGACCCAAAAGCTGTGTTCTCACCTAAAATTGACAGTGTGATGGTACTTCCTACGAGCAGCTTTTCTGAATAAATTAATAAATAAATAAATGGTGGGTAGGTTTGAAGAAGAAGAGGGTTCTGTGCTATTAGTAATTTGAGGTTAAAGAGCACAGGTCAGAGCACCTGGAAGGCTCAGCTGGTTAAGCATCTGCCTTCGGCTCAGGTCATGATCCTGGAGTTCCGGAATTGAGTCCCACATCGGGCTCCCTGCTCGGCAGGGAGTCTGTTTCTCCCTCTGACCTGTTGCATTTCATGATCTCTCTCTCTCTCTCTCTCTCTCTCTCTCTCAAATAAATAAATAAATAAATCTTAAAAAACAACAACAAAAAGCACAGGTCAATTTGTTTTCATAGTTCACCTTAATTTGATTCTTAAGGTGTTTGCAGATAGATGGCTTATATACGTAGGATTACACACGAACTTAACACGGACAGCTTCACAGCCACGGACAGTTGTCACTGGCAGGACCCATACACATGTTTTCACATCTCTCTGCGCTAGGCCAGATGCAGTACAAGCCGTGAGAGGGCTAAGAGCTATCTACCTCTTTATGAAACACTAGTGGCAGGCGCAGAAAATGCTCTTACAAAGTATTTTATCTGAATATCAGCTGCACGTCCAGACTTTTGGAAGGCCAGTACTGTGTGTGGCCTTCTGTCCTAGGACTCCCTGGAACTGTACACCACATGGCCTGAGGTTTTACGCACAGCTGTCTACAACAAATAAAGGCAGGCAGATGCCCTTCGCCATACCTGCTGTCTCTACTCGGGTTTTTCATCTATAAATTCGAAGACAATTCAGATAAGGTTCAGGCACAGACTATTTCAGTATCAAGTACAGGACAGGAGGAACAGAACCATCCCACCATTATGTTAATAACAAAGATAACAGTAATAATCATACACTAGGACACTATTGTGTTCAGCTCCCGCTCAGGAACAGACTCAGGTGATTTCTTAGGACAATATTCTTTTTTTTTAATTTTTTTTTTTTAAGATTTTTATTTATTTGACAGACAGATCACAAGTAGGCAGAGAGGCAGGCAGAGAGAGAGAGCAGGAGGAGGCAGGCTCCCTGCCAAGCAGAGAGCCCGATGTGAGGCTCGATCCCAGGACCCTGGGATCATGACCCGAGCCGAAGGCAGAGGCCCTAACCACTGAGCCACCCAGGCGCCCCTCTTAGGACAATAGTCTATCAAGTGAACCAAGCCACCTTCAGCACAAAAGCATCCAAAAAGGATAAGATACTAGCTCCGATTCCCTCTTCCCACAGACACACAGAAGGAGAAGCGGGTAGGAAACACTACTTTGTATGTCAGAGGGAAGCAGCTGATGGCAAACCCTGCCAAAACGTGTAGTCGTGGGGGACTTCCACGGTCTCGCAGCTGCAGGTCTCTCAAGGTCACACCAGCTGGGGCAGGGGAGCTCCAGATTTGCCATTCAGAATTTTTTGCCATCAGGGACCTTGAAGGACAACTCGCTGAAGCTTATACCCTATTTCGAAGGTGAATCTTGTCAAACCTGCCTGCAGGGACAGAGCTTGATTTCAGTAAGATACCGCTCTTCTATGTGTTTCTTTAGCCTGAACAAAATTATTTACCGAGAAAATAAGGTCAGACAGATACCATGTATGCTTCAAAGAGTCACTCTACAAGCTTCCCCTAAAAGAAATCTGAGCAAACTGTTAAGATTTCTTTAAGTTTCAGGTTCATGGAACTAAAATAGAAATACTGTGGGGAATAAGGGCACAGGGTTTGACTGACGGTCTAGGACAGTGGTTCCAAAAGCAGTCCTTGCACCAGCAACAGCAGCATCACCTGAGGATTTTTAGAAATGCACTTGGACCCGAATCACACCTCTGAGTCAGAACCTCTGGGGGTGGGGTCTTCTGGTTCATTCTGATGCCCACTAAAGGCTGAGAGCCACTGGTCCAGGAAGAAAAAGGATGATGCCAAGAAACACCAAAAACATATATTTAATAAATAATTTTATAAATACTCTGAGGTTCACAAGGGAAAAAAATACAGTGCATAAACCTTGGAAAAAAGCCCAGTGGAATTCTGCCAGGTGCTAAAGGTACCAACACAGACTGAACACCAGGCCTGACAAGCTTTTAGCAAGTTCCACACCTGAGATCCCCACTTCTGATTTTTTTAAATGTGGCATTTAAGGTTGAATTCCCAGGGAAGTGTAAAGAACCTTTCAATATAAAAATTTAACAAGAGGATTT